ATTCCTGTGTGCTGTTTCCTATCTCTCTTGAGCTCTCTGTTCCTTATTAGTCCCTGTCAGGAGCAAGAGGAGTGAGTGGCAAGCCACTCCCTGGACTGAGATCATAGAGATGGGATGCTAGCATAGGATTTCCTTCATTACCCTTTCCATATGGTGAAAGGGATTACCTATGACCCCCTTTTGATATGGATTACCTTTTGGCCTTATGGCCTCTATTGCTTCTTGTTCCCTTGGTAACTTTAAAGCCTGGTCTTTTGATATTTATCTGAAGAAGCTACCTTGTAATACGGTACATATACTCACACAGAATTCAATAAAGCACCCCTGTTCCACCAGAGACTTGGGTCCCCGTGTCCTTCTCTCTCTCTCTCTCTCTCCCTATCTCTCTATTTCTGGCTGATTCCCTGGAGCGCAGAAGCCGGCTGTGTAACCCAGGGAATATTAGCCTCTTTCCTTCTTTCACTTTCTTATCGTCAGCTCCGGACCACTAGGTTCTGGTCCATTAAAGGACTCCCAACAAGGGGCGCCCAGAACAGGGGCCTGGTATACGCGACATTTCAGATGGAGTGACTCAGGGCCTATTGAAGCTGGTAAGAATAAGGACATGGGTCAAACGACTGGAGAGCCCCCTCACTTTTCTACTTTACTTCATCATTTATTTAAAGTTCAGGGACTGTTGGTTTCGTGCCGATGAGTAGAGGCTTGCCTTCAAACAATAGTTGAACATAATCCCTGGTTCCCTGATGAAGGCAGTTTTGATCTAGAAATTTGGCACCAGGTCAAAGAGAAGGTTGAACGAGCTGCCAGATGGGGGAAAAAAAATATTCCAATTGATTTCTGGCCCCTGTGGGTTCTCATTAAAGCTGTAATTCTGCCATTTCAAGGCAATTCTAGCCCTCCTGATATTTGACAACAGACAGAACTCTTATTACATGAATATGAATTAGATGATGAAACTTTACAAAAGGCCCAATTAGAACAACATAAAATATTTCAGAATTTTCCTACAAGCCCTGCCCCGGCTGCTCCAAATGCTCCTCCTCTGCCAACAGGCGCGAATCCAAAAGTCTCTCCTTTGCTAGAACCTAATGATTCTGACGACTCTCTGGAGATACTTTTTGACGCCAAAACTGGCAATACTTTTCTGGATAATAATGATAAGTCCTTATCACAAACTCATATTTGCAAAAAATTGCTACCTACTCACTCTCCTTCTTGACAGAGGCTCTTTGAATTCCTGGCTTTGCAATTACAAGTCTCTGAAGCCGATGGTTTTTCTGCCTTTCCAGTTTTAAGAAATGCTGACGCTCAAGGGCAGATAATACCTCAATATGAAGGTATTAACTTTTTTCACACGCAACAAATCAAAAAGGATATAACTATGTATGGGCCACATTCGCCTTTTACTAGACTGATTCTAAACGCTATGGTGTCTTCTATTGGAACCTTTATTCCCTATGATTGGTGAATTTTAATAAAAGCTTTCCTTAAACCAGGAGAGTATCTTCAATGGACAATGTGGTTTCAAGATATAGCCAGAGATCATGCTAACAAAAATGCTCGAGCTGGCGCTCCCTAAAACCAAATTACTTTTGAAGTGTTAACTGGCACCGGACAATTTGACGCTATAGAAGCTCAAATACAATGCCCTCCTTTGTTGCATGAACAATTAAAAACAGTGGCCCTTGAAGCTTGGGATAGAATTATTCCTCAAGGGGAACATACAGGTAGCTACACTAAAATATTGCAAGGACCTAATGAAACTTATGCTGACTTTTTAGCTAGATTAGAAACTATTATTTCCTGTACTGTAATCGGAGAAGAAGCTAAAAGGCAACTAGAGAAATTACTTGCTTATGAAAATGCAAATCAGGAATGTCAAAAGGCTATAGCCCCAATTCGTGAGACAGGGACTATCATTGATTATTTGAAGGCTTGTTGCAATCTAGGATCAGAAACTCAAAAAATGCAAATGCTAGCTGAAACAATGGCTGCTTGCTTTAAAAAGAGAAATGAGGGATGTTTTATATGTGGGGATAAGAACCATTTAAAAAAGGGCTTGCCCTAAGAAAGCTAATAAAAATCCTCCAAAAGTCTGCCCCCGCTGCTGTAGGGGAATGCATTGGGCCAAAGAGTGTAAATCTAAATTTGATATTGAAGGAAAATTGACTCTTGGACTAACTCCTACTTCCAAAGGTCCCTACACTGGACTGGTCTATAAAGAGGACTGGCTGACCTAAAACTCACCTTAAAACAATGCTCAAACAGAGGACTCAAGAGAGATAGGAAACAGCACACAGGAATCCTACTGTTAAACATTCCCTGACAAGCATCCCCCACAGCATCCGGTCTGGAACTGTAACTCTGGTGATTGTCTTGGCAATTTTATTTGTTGTTTACGGTTGCCTTTCTGCAAAAATTGTTAAAACTAAACAAACTCAAATGGTCAGGACCTTTTTTACAAATCGGGGGAATTGTCAGGGAATGTTTAACAGTAGGATTCCTGTGTGCTGTTTCTATCTCTCTTGAGCCCTCTGTTCCTTATCAGTCCCTATCAGGAGCAAGAGGAGTGGCAAGCCACTCCCAGGACTGAGATCATAGAGATGGGATGCTGGCATAGGATTTCCTTCATTACCCTTTCCATATAGTGAAAGGGATTACCTATGACCCTCTCTTGAGATGGATTGCCTTTTGGCCTTATGGCCTCTATTGCTCCTTGTTTCCTTGGTAACTTGTTAAGTCTGGTCTTTTGATCTTTATCTTTAGAAGCTACCTTGTAATATGGTATATATACCCACACAGAATTCAATAAAGCACCTGTGTTCCACCAGACTTGGGTCCCTGTGTCCTTCTCTCTCTATTTCTGGCTGATTCCCTAGAGCACGGAAGCCGGGTGCGTAACCCAGGGAATATTAGCCTCTTTCCTTCTTTCACTTTCTTATCATCAACTCCGGACCACCAGGTTCCAGTCCATTAAAGGACCCCAACATGAAATGCTTTTCAAATAAAAACTCCAATTAAGAACAACAATTCCACTCTGAAAGTTATTTTTGTTCTTTTGAGATTTTAAACAAATAGACCAAGGAATCCTAACAATTACATTTTGTATCCTGCATAAAAGTGGACCCTTTATTTTGATTATGTAAAATGTTTTTTCAGAAGGAAATTTATTACTTTACATTTTTATCCACTATTTTTTTTTGTTCTCATATCTTTTCCACTATTGCTAAGCTCAATATTTCCAAGAAATTTGGAAAACAACCTCATTGTTCTGATGGGCACTTCATTTAGTGCCCCAAATGTGGATTTCCTATATGCATATTTCATCCCAAAGGAATCTGGGGCTGTAAACCTTGGAATTTTCATTAGTTTACTCTAGCAAATTCTTTTGGGAACATTCCCACATACTGATGTGTGGTATGTGCCACATTTCACTTGGGTGGGGACTAGACTAGCTTATGGAAGTGGACAGGACACAGACTGTTAGGGTGATTCTGTCTCTTATAAGGAGCGCCACCTCCATGGCATCTAGGTAGGAAAAAACCTGGGCCTAGAGAAATAGATTCGCTAGGAATCACCATCACTGTTTCCTGGATCTGGAGGGGGTCTAGATAAACTATCAGTTATTCCCCATCAGCATCCCCACAGAGAGACACTTGAGATCACATGTACTCGAGATGTGAGCTAGGCAATCTAGATTTTTATGATTTGTGTTTTATCTTTTACGAGAAGTGATTTCAGATGGAACTTTGCATTCCAAATTCAGCCAACTTTTTATCTAATATTTCATTAATATCTCTGAAAGACTTCCTTAGTAGAGAATAAACTATTTAAGCTCAGCACTTTAAATAAATAAATGCTATTTATTATTTTTATTTAATTAAATTTTTGTGTGTTGTAATCATGGTGTTTATTCTTGAGTAGAATGAATTCAAAGTTACTAACAGCTAAAAATTCACTGTCTAGCTTTGTGCTAAATAACGCTTTACATGTGTTACCTCATTAAATCTCCAAATCCGTATTAGTATCTCTATTTATAAAAAGTGGACTTTGAAATTTGGAGATACTAGTATGTTGACTCACCCAAACACACACAGAAACTATGTGGAAGAATGGAACTTCAAATGAAAATGTGTTTCAGTTGCCTAATCATTATAAGATTGCAATACATTCTACTATTAGTGCTTAAATTTACTAAATGTTTACAGACAATAGAAATGAAATTGTACAAATCACAAAAAACTCACAAAATTATGATGACCTCCATCTAACCAATATAGCCTATTTTAGCAAACTTCCTGAAATGTAAGAAACATTTGTGTCTTTCTGAGCTCCTCTGCAGAGGGAATAAAGACATACGCTCACCATCATCCCATCCCAACAGAGGTCCCCAGTATGGGGTCTGTTTGTATGTGGAAGCAACACAATAGAACTCAGCAGCATGGATGCAGTAAGAGGAGAGAGCAGTGTTTCCCCTAGTCTTCCCTTCCTTCAGGAAAAAGCAACGGGGGAGGGAAGACAGGGAATGACAAATTGACATGCTGGTTTACATGCCTCTTGTGTGTACCCCGCCCTTGCAATCCTTACCCAGCTGTCCCCACAAACTCAGCTGTGTCACCAAAGCAAACAACAAAGCAGATGTCAAACACCATCCATTACAAGTGTCTAAAGGGAGAAGAAAAAAAAAAATCCTAAAATGCAAAGTTTTTGACTCCATTCTCCAAAGTTTACTCTCTGATATCTTTTTATAAATAAAACCTGGATTTGGTTATTTCACTGACATGTTCCAGCCAGTTCTTAAAGAGAGGATCTTATTTCTATTAAATCTTCCCCATATGTTATTAAGATAATGATTTATAATTCTGGTTTTGAAATATCCTCTAATGTCTCTGGTTATCTCAGACGATGCTATAAATTTTTCAAAAAGTCCTTCAAGAAAAATGTTGAAACATCTCTAGAGAGCTGTTAAAATAATTCCTCTATTTCACTCTTTCCAGAATCACACCATGCCAAACTACAAACTCATTTATTTTAATATGAGGGGGAGAGCAGAAATTATTCGTTACATATTTGCATATTTGGACATAAAATATGAAGACCACAGAATAGAACAAGCTGATTGGCCTGAAATCAAGTCAAGTAAGTAGCATAAATGTTGTTGATGGAAATGTACAAAGAGGAAATGTTTCTAGAACTTTTTGTCTCTCCTCGGGGAAAAGAAAAATATAAAGGTTTTTAGATCTTATGTAGCTTTACATTAAGAAACAGCAGTTCAGGCAAGTTAAATAAATGCTATGTGACCCAGAAAATTTCCTATTTGCAGTGAAAACACACACTTGACAGAGGGAGCAGATCAAAATAACTGAGCATAAAGCTCTATCAGAAGAGCTGAAATGGAGGAATAGAGAAGTTAAACTTTTGACCATTGGAATTGACTGGGCTTGCTCAGCTATCAATAGCATTTGGACAATGGATCAGATAAGCTGCTTTAACAGAAAACCAAATGGCTTAAATAACAAGGACATAAATTGTATCACATAACTGAAAATCCAGAAGGCCAGGTTTCCAAGGATGGCTTTATTCAGTTTTCCCCCTCAGTGTGTTGGCTGATTCATGAAGCTGGTAGCAATATGTTTGCTGCAATTCCAGCCTGGCAGTGTTGAGCAGCAATCTTGAGAGGTTATAGGAGAAAGCTTAACACTGCTCCCTTAAGTGTTCCCAGGAGAAGGAAGAAAAACTTTCCCAGGAGACCTCAGCAAACCTCTCATGTCTCACTGGCTCAAGCTGGCCCATGTGTCCATTTCTGAAACAGCCACTGGCAAAGGGGGTAGGAAGAACCTTAGAACGATCGATCCATCTCTGAAGTAGGGGATGGAAACTGTTTTCATCTCTGAAGATGCCAAGACAGTGTAGAAAGAAAACAACTTAAAAAAATGTACCATCCTCAGAGAAAAGAGAAGATACTCTACACAATATAAAAGGAATGTTCAGAGACAAAATTTTCTTCAGTTAATGTCTGATACAAACAGACAAATAAAATGATGAAAAATAAGTAAATCCTCCAGAAAACACAATAGGGAAAAAACGAAAAATAAGAGAAAAAGATAAGGACAATTGAGAATCAGTCAGTTTAGGAGGTGCAACATTTCCATGAAATCCTGGGAAGGGAGAACAGAAAGTAGAGGGGAGGAAAACTTTTAAAAGAAACTTCCTTATACAAAACTGAAATGATCTCCATATGGCTTTCACATATTGGTCTTGGAATTACCATTTTAATCAGGGAGGACAAAATTTTTTTTTCTCTCACATTTGATTATTTGAAGAAATTTAGAATCTTTAAAACATCAGAGAAAAAGCCATTGCTGTGTAGTCAGTTCAATGAAAATGCTCCGAAGATAAAGACTGTCTTTGGCTGAATCAGAACCGAGTCCCTAGGTAACTCATGCGCATGTATCTCTGTTTAGATACCAACTTTTGGAACTTCCTTGATTGTTTCTCTGATTATTGTGAAATTAAGTCCAACCTTCCCTGACTTTACTTCTTTATTTAGACACTGATTCCTGTGTTTTAGACAGGAATTCTAATGTTTATTCCTGTGTTTATTTAGACACTGATTCCTGTGTTTATTTAGACACTGATTCTTTAGTTAGACACTGACACTATAGACTATCTGAGATATGCAATCACATATAGGTTCAAGGGACAACTGTCTCCTCTTCCTGAAGAGGAGATTTATTTATTTATTTCCGCTGGTTTGGGTCTCCTCACCATCCAAGCAGAACAAGCCCCTGCTAGACTCTGCTATTTTACGTGCGGCACCTATGGGGAAACACAATGTTCCAGGCATAAGACCAGCACACAGTAGACTGGGACCATCACTCCTGGCACAAGTTGAGACATTTTTCTAAGACATTTTACCAAGATCACAGTAGCTATTTTGGCAGCTATAGCACATTGAGGCTTTATGTTCAGCATCACTAAATCTCTTAAAGCTTTTTGACAGGTGTTCCTGTTAAGTTACAACTCCAACACCCTGAAATTATTTTTTTTCTGGAACCAAATAAAGGACTTCATATTTGTCTTCTTAAATTTCTTCTTGTTAGATGCAGCCCTGTATTCCAACTGTTGGCAATCATCCCAAGCTTGGCTCAAAGGCTTCCAGTAGCTGAATGCTTACCATCTCATAAGAAAATACATTCCACTGTTAATAGTTCCAACAGGAAAATAATTATTCTTGATCTTGAGTTAAAATCTGCCCTTTAAAAATTTCTTTTTGGAAACAGAATTCTTTTGGGTTCTGGTTCTGCATTTTAGAGATAGTTAGAATAAGTAGCATTTTTCTTTCCATTTGATAGTTGTGCCATTTTGGAGACAGCATTTATGTTCCACTTAGTTTGTTCACTTCCACTTAGTTTGTTCTCTCCTTCAAGTGAACAGTGTGAAGTTCTTCAGCCAATCTTCATATAATGTGATTTTCAGACCCCTTTCTAACTTGGATACTATCCTCTGGGTTTGCTCTGATTTTTAATATCTTTCTCAAAACATGGCTCTTAGAACCAAAAACAGCTGAGCAAGAGTTCCAACTGACCTCAGTCTGGATCTCACCGTTAGCAGGTGTGTGATCTGGGCTTTTTATATAACTTTTCCTCATTTGTAAAATGAGTTGGTAGTTAATACTTCACAGAGCTGTTGTAAGTACCTGAAGACCTAATGGGCAATGACTAGTGCAATGAATAGTACAAGGGAAGCAACCCCCAAAATGCTAAGCATGTTATTTACTCTTCATCACACAGTATGCTTCAGATAAGGCATCACAATTTGTGTCAGCTTTATTTGGGACTTTGTTTTGCTGAGTCTCTCAAACACCTACAACAGTAGGAGTCATGCTTAATTAGGTAAGTATTCAAAGAGGTTTTTATTCTCGGTATGAACTGTAGTTCATCTTTCACTATCCAGTGCATATGAAAGACACTCGAAGGCTGATGCTAGCAGTCGAGTTAGGGTTGTGGAATTATAAGAGGCACTTTATTCTTTTCCCTCACTCCAAAATAATTTTATGTCCAAACCTAAGGTGGCTCAGTGGTAAACAATCCAGCTGCAATACAGGAGATGATGGTTCAATCCTGGGTCGAGAAGATCCCCTGCTGGAGGAAATGGCATCCCACTGCCAGTATTCTTGCCATGGACAGAGGAACCTGGCAGGCTACAGTCCTTAGGGTTGCAGAATCAGACATGACTGAAGCAACTGAGCAAGCAAGACACAGGTTGGGAAAACTGTGATTAGTTCATATGGCAAAGTGCATGCTGTTCAAAAGATGGTGCTTTACTGATTTAGAAAGATTTAAAATTCTCCCAGGCTGCACGGTGCAGACAAGCAGGGAAAAAAAAGTGAAAAAAAGAAAAAAGGAAAGGTAACATCAAATGAAAAAAAAAGTGGTTTACAAACATTATATACATTATGATTCTATATTTAAATGTACACATTTGTGTTTAGTTGCTCAGTCGTTTCCGACTCGGCAACCCCACTAACTGTAGCCTCCTAGTCTCCTCTGTCCATGGAATTTTCCAGGCAAGAATACTGGAGTGGGTTGCCATTTCCTACTCCAATTTATATGTATATAGGAAAGCAATTAAAATATTAAAATGGTTATAATTATGTGGTAGAATTTTTATTTTCAACTTAGAATGTTTCTATAATAAAGAATAACAAATTACTTTCTCAAAAAATATAATAAGTTTAGATAAGAAAACAAAGTAGGATTTACAGAGAAATATTAATACACTTTCTCTGAGCCTGTTCTATATTTGTATAAATATGCTTGTTCCCTTACTATATACTTCAAAGTCCTTCATCAGAATCAGAGTTTGGCTAAATTCCTTACCATAACTCAATTATCAAACACTCCATATTCCTCAGACTATGGTTTTAAAGAATAATTAATATAATCTCAGAGGACTGAAAAATTAATGAGACTTTAAAAGTTTTTTTTTTTTAAAGTTACATAGTAAGTACGTGAGGTAATATATATAAGCATTGATGTAAACCTGGATTTTAGACCCAGTTCTGTCAGTAACTGTATAGCAGTTCTTCTAACAACTCATTTTTCCCTCTTTATAAAAAAATTTGAAGTATAGTTGCCATACAATAGAAGTTTCAGATGTACAATATAGTGATCCACAATTTTTAAATGTTATAGTCCATTTATGGCTATTATAAAATATTGGCTATATTCCCCATGTTGTACAATATATCCTTGTAGCTCACCTTATACATAATACTTCGTCCCTCTTACTTCTCCACCCCTATACTGCCTGTCCCCTTTTTCCTCTCTCCACTGGTAACCACTTGTTTGTCCTCTGTATCTGTGAGCCAGCTTCTTTTTCTAACAAGTTTTTTTTGGATTTTTTTGTTTTTTCCCAATTATTTTTATTAGTTGGAGGCTAATTACTTTACAATATTGTAGTGGTTTTTGCCAAACATTGACATGAATCAGCCATAGATTTACATGTGTTCCCCATCCTGAAACTCCCTCCCCAGCCCACCCCTCTGGGTTATCCCAGTGCGCCAGCCCCGAACACTTGTCTCATGCATCCAACCTGGACTGGCGATCTGTTTCACAATTGATAGTATACATGTTTCGATGCTCTTCTCTCAGATGATCCCACCCGCGCCTTCTCCCATAGTGTCCAAAAGTCTGTTCTATACATCTGTGTCCCTTTTTCTGTCTTGCATATAGGGTTATCATTACCATCTTTCTAAATTCCATATATATGCATTAGTATACTGTATTGGTGTTTTTCTTTCTGGCTTACTTCACTCTGTATAATGGGCTCCAGTTTCATCCATCTCATTAGAACTGATTCAAATGNTTTATTTCTATTATTATTACATCAACTCTGGTCACCAGGATTAGATCCCAGAGGCTGGGGACCCTGCCCTAGACAGGCTCCCTGGTAGCTCAGAGGGTAAAGAACTTGCCTGCAATGTAGGAGACCTGGGTTTGATCCCTGGGTTGGGACGATCCCGTGGAGAAGGAAATGCAATCCACTCTAGTATTCTTGCCTAGAGAATTCCATGGACAGAGGAGCCTGGCGCCGGGCTCAGTCCATGGGGTCAAAGAGTCGGCCAGGACTGAGTAACTGACAATATCCCTTATGGAATAAATAGTCAAGAATTTTGCCATGTTACTCTCCTGCTTTGTTTCCACAATGATCAGTAAAACAAAAGTATTATGACTTGATTTTGTTCTGGAAGTTGATTATTTGCTTATTTTATTTTAAGCTCTTCCATTTGGCAAAATCCCCATTTTGGAAGTTGACGGACTTAAACTTCACCAGAGTCTAGCAATAGCAAGATACTTGACCAGAAACACAGGTAATATATTCTTTATGTTTAAGGTTCTTGATAGCTGAAAAAATGTGTGGCATATATTTACTATTCATTAAGCGGCTCTATTAGTGAGTGAGATTAAACTATACAGTACAAGGGATAACGGGGTTAAATGCTGAGTTAGTATACATATACAATTTCTATCAGTTTAATTTTCCCCGAGTTCCCTAGACAATTAATTTTATCTTATATTTCCCAGTCTCTCCTGCCCCACACCTCCTTGTTCTCAATCCCTTCTTGGAATATAGCTGAAAAATTAGACAGATGTATCTGAACCCAAACTTTTACTAGAGTGCCTATCATAAGTTATCAGAAATTAACAGGAAATACATGAGGCATCAGTTCAGTTCTGTTCAGTCGCTCAGTTGTGTCCAACTCTTTGCAAGCCCACAGGACTGTAGCATGTCAGACTTCCCTGTCCATCACCAACTTGGAGCTTACTCAAACTTACCCATCAAGTCAGTGATGCCATCCAACCAAATCATCCCCTTCTCCTCCCACCTTTAATCTTTCCCAGCATCAGGGTCTTTTCCAGTGAGTCAGTTCTTCACATCAGGTGGCCAAAGTATTGGAGCTTCAGCTTCAGCATCAGTCCTTCCAATGAATATTCAGGACTCATTTCCTTTAGGATTGACTGGTTTGATCTCCTTGCAGTCCAAGGGAGTCTCCAACATCACAGTTTAAAATAAAAGCATCAATTCTTCAGCACTCAGCTTTCTTTATGGTCTAACTCTCACATTCGTACAAGACTACTGGAAAAACCACAGCTTTGACTAGATGGACCTTTTTGGCAAAGTAATGTCTCTGCTTTTTAATATGCTGTCTAGGTTGGTCATAGTTTTTCTTTCAAGGAGCAAGCGTCTTTTAATTTCATATAATGTAATATACCATGTCATTAACATACAAACTCAGGTTGTTTCTCAAGGGCACAGTGAGTTAACAGACCCCTGCGCGTGCACCACCTGGCCAAAGACATCCTGATTCTCAAAACCACCACACCTTCACTATCCATTTATCTCTTAATGAACTCTTAGGTTGCTTCCTTATCTTGGCAATTGTAAATGACGCTGCTATGAACACTGGGGTGCATGTATCTTTTCAAATTACAGTTTTTATCTTTTCCAGATATACGTCCAGGATTGGAACTGCTGAATCATATGGTAGTTCTATTTTTAGTTTTTTGAGAAACCTCCCTGCTGCTCTCCAGTGACCACACCAATTTCCACCAACAGTGTAGGAGGGTTCCCTTTTCTCCATATCCTTGCCAACATTTGCTAGTTATGTTTTTGATGACAGCCATCCTGACTGGAGTGACGTGATACCTCATCATGGTTTTGATTTGCATTTCCCTGATGTTTAGTGATGCTGCACATCTTCTCATGTGCCTATTGGTCATTTGCATTTCGTCTCTAGAGAAACGTCTATTTGGTTCTTCTGCCCATTCTTTAATTGCATTGTCTTTTTGATGTTGAATTGTATGAACTGTTTATATATGTTGAGTATTAATCCCTTATAGATCGTATCATTTGTAAATATTTTCTCCCATTCAGTGGGTTCTTTTCAGTTTATTAATGTTTCCTTTGCTGAAATGCAACCAATTCAGCATGCTTCTACACAGAAGCATTTTAAATTGACACCAATGAGAATATATTTAGGAAGACCAATGATTCCTTAGCAAAATGTTGATCAAATGGCAGGAAAAAACAAAAACAAAACTATCTCTTATTATTTTAAACTTAGTTTCTAGAAAGCAAACACATGCTCTTGACAAAAAACTACCTGCACAAGTAGAAGTAGTTCTTCCTACAAGATAAATGATAATATATGTGTAGGTTGTTTATTGTAGTATTGCTTGTCCTAGCAAAAGACTGGAAACAAACCTAATCAGTTGAGGCTAGTTAAGTAAATTGTGGCACTTCCACTTAAGGGAATCCTATGTGCCTGAAAAAAGGGCAAGGATGCCCTTAAAGAACTTGTAGGAAAAACTAGGATATATGGGGAGAGGTGCATGTTGAGTGGGATATGTATTCTTATTTTCATTAAGAAATAATGGAATAATATAAGATAAATGAATGAAAATGGTAACCAATATGATAGGCAGGTAAGGAGCAAAATGAAGTGAATGGGACCAGAGGTGGAAGTTACTTTTCACTGGATACTGTTTTACTGTACACTGTTCAGAATTTTTGAACCATATGAATATGCTGCCTTTTACAAAAAAGCTTTAAATTAAATTGAGTATCTTCTTGGGCATAAAATGTCCTCTCTCTATTCCATAGATCTGGCTGGAAAAACAGAACTTGAACAATGTCAAGTGGATGCAATTGTGGACACAATGGATGATTTCATGTCTCGTTTTCCTTGGGCAGAGAAAAGACAAGATATAAAAGTAATGTGATCAGTTTGCTATTAATCATATCCGTTTTCCAAGTGTTATGTTAGGTGCTTTTAAAAGTTCCTTTTTATCAAAGTAAAACATACCTCTAGTTTTAAAGTATCACGTTATCATAAAAAGTTTAAAACAAAGTACCACAGTGATTCCCGCCCTACCTCTTTGTATTACCCCTTCCTCAGGTGCAGCCCTCATTTTAACACTTTTAGCTGTTTCTTTAGGATTTAGACATCTCCATATAGGATATGTAAATATGGCTTTCTCTGATTCACAAATTTTAGATAGTTTTGACAGGCTTAGAAGACTAATGAGAATCTATCTCCTAAGCAGTCATTCTGATTCCCTTCTTCCAAACTCCTAATATTAAAATTTTGTGGTCAAATCGATAGTCATTACATTAGAATGTCTAGGAAAATAGTGTGCAGAACTGTGCATTGTGGTATACTTTGATTATATTTCCTTTCTCACTTTCCTTCTCAAAGTAGTAATTACCTTTTTTCATTTGCTTCTTTTTCACTTTTATTGCTGAACCTTCCCATACTACCCAATGGCCTGCCAATACTGTATTCCACAAAGTCAATGATATCAGATAATCTGTTGTTTCCATTATTTCCTTGGAGATTTCCAGCCAGAGATTGCCATTCTCCTTTGGAGAGCTGTCTAGGTTTCTGCACAACTTTCATCATTGGACTTCCTTTCACTGCCACCCCAGGAATATCTTTTTCTTGAGCTGGAGTTTTGTTTCCTGGATGCTTTCCTCCGTTTTTATTTACTCCTTTGTTTACTTGAGGCACATCCCCAGTATTCATATCTTTTATCATCAAGGCTTCTTCATTTTAAATATTGGAAACTGTTGTCCTCATTTTCCAGATGAAGAAATGGAGGTTCAAGTAGAAGTGTAAATAACTTGCCTAAGGTTATTTAGCTGGTAAGTGGTACATGGAGAATTCAAATCCCAGACACTGTGGCTCAGACTCCACGTTCTTAACCACTGAGTGTAATGTCACAGGGCCAGCAGCTATTCAAAACAGCTGTGCAGGAGTATTTATTATGTACATGTTACAGCTTAAGTGAAGTGAAAGGGTTAGTCGCTCAGCTGTGACCGACTATTTGTGACCCCATGGACTGCAGCCTGCCAGTCTCCTTTGTCCATGGAATTCTCCAGGCAAGGATACTGGAGTGGGTAGCCATTCCCCTCTCCAGGGGATCTTCCCCACCCAGGGATAAAACCCATGTCTCCTGCATTGCGGGCAGATTCTTTACCATCTGAGCCACTAAAGAAAAGCTACAGCACAGAACAAATGGCGGTTTATCAGTTTACTTAAGCATATTTACTTGGAGAAGGAAATGGCAACCCACTCCAGTATTCTCGCCTGGACAATCCCATGGACAGAGGAGCCTGGTGGGCTACAATCCATGGGGTCACAAGAGTCGGACACGACTTGGCGACTAAACCACCACCACCACCACTTTATTCTAAATAGCATTTGTTTGATTAGGACCCTCTGATTTAAACAGAGATATTTGGGACATAAAAGCATTCACATTTACTGATTCCTTGATATAAATGTAAGATGTGTGGGGAGATACCCACACATGCATATATATACACACATACTTGACTAACCAGAGCAAAGTCTTAAATAAAGGCTCAGCTTTGATGACAGAAACACATTTGGGCTCTGGAGTCAGACTGCCAGGCTTGAACCCTGATTCTCTTTTCACCAGTTGTCACAACTCCCTACCAAATTTTCATATTCAGTGTCTGCAAAGTAGGGATAGCATAGAATCTACTTTGAAGTATTAGTCGCTCAGTCGTGTCCGACTCTTTGCAACCCTGTGATCTGTAGCCCACCAGGCTCCTCTGTCCATGGGATTCTCCAGGCAAGAATACTGGAGTGGGTTGCCATTTCCTTCTCCAGGGGATCTTCCAAACCCAGAGATCGAACCTGGGTTTCCTGCATTGCAGGCAGACGCTTTACCCCCTGAGACACCAGGGAAGCCCACTTGAAGTATGTTGGGGGGATTAAATAGTAGAATAAGCATCCATGGCGAGGTGGAAAGTGTTTACTAAATATTAGTTATTAATAGTATTATTATACACTTCAGTGCTCATCATTTTCCCTTTTGTCAGACATGACATCTACATTTCACATTCTTTATACATGTAGAAGCAAGCAGATATATAATCCTCAACTTGGAAAAAAAAATTATCTAAAGGTTTTTGTCCCATGTCAGCTTGCCTTTCTCTATTTCTCTACTTTGTACCTTTCTGTGATTGAGGCTCCATAACAGAAGCAATCTACCAAAGTAACATGTCTTTGAACATTTATGGTGAGAGTAACTTTACCTTTGTGTTAGAATAAGAATGCTTTTTCATACTACCTACCACAAAACAAAAAAACCCCCAACATTTACAGGACATAATTCAAGTTTGTGAATAAATCATATGAAGGGACAATGTGTTGCAGAATTACTGCAAATAGCCAGACTATCGGATTATCTGATTAGTAAAGTAGAACCTGACCAGAACACAGTGAAAAATAACACAGTTCTTTTGTATGTTGTCACTTGGTCTCTGTAGTGGTTGCATTGCTGCCACCTTGTGGTCAGGTAAAATTTTCAAAAGCAGACTCCTGAAAACAGACAAGATTAAAAACAGTCAAAATATTCCTCTTATTATATGTGCTTCAAATAAAATTTATCAACATTTGCTTAATTATAAATGTATCAGTGATAAAAATTCCATTTCTAATTTAAAAATTAAGAAAGTTAAACTTACAGGCAAAATTTGTCTCTGAGCGTTGGTCACACTGAAAATCTTTGAATTTATCACTAGAATTTCTGTGTTTATACAATGCATTTGTTTCAGTTTTCTCATCTGAAGAACAAGGCAGGGGTTTGTGGGTGGGGGATGAAGGGTAAGCAGGACTGAAGAACATCAGTGGCCCATTTCCAAAATAAATGATTTTGGTAAGTGTGGATTTTAAAATGGTACTTTGGAGAAATACTCAAACCTCCCTAAATCCTGTAAAGGTTGTTTGATAGAAAACTATAGCAATAACTTTTCAGTGTACACAAATTTACATAATAACTCCGGAGAAGGAGGTAGGAAATTTCTGAGGCCATCAAGTCTAAGAATGGCTATCGAGGGTTTATCAGAAAATAAACTTTAAAAAGGATGTGTAACAACATTTTTGGGCTTCCCTGGTGGCTCAGATGGTAAAGAAGCTGCCTGCAATGCCGGACACCTGGGTTTGATCCCTGGGTAGCGAAGATCCCCTGGAGGAGGGCATGGCAACCCACTCCAGTCTTCTTGCCTGGAGGATCCCCATGGACAGAGGAGCCTGGTGGGCTACAGGCCATGGCGTCACAAAGAGTTGGATACGACTGAGTGACTAAGCACAGCACATAAAAACATTTTATCCTCTTCAGGTTATTCTGAATATTCTTTAAAATGACTCAAAACACAAATGGTTATGCTGTTGAGCAATCTATATTCCATGAGACTGAGATGATTCTCACCACAGACAATAAGAGAACCGAGGTGAAAGGAGAAGTCAAGAGTGTAGAGATAAGATTTTCATCTGGCACTGCATATGCCAAGCACTGGTGCCTCTTACATTGTGGAAATGCACAGAAGGAAAAGCAGCTGAATTACCCAAGTGAGCACACAGGCGTTTGTGGAAAGTTGTACGGCATCTACATCCTGTCCCACTGAACTCTCTCCTCTTTCCAGCTTTTCTAGGACAGCCAAGCTGGCTAGTGCCTCCCCGACTGATGCTGAGCTAAGCTAAGTTGTGGGAAATGTCACGTTTCTGGGTCTGTTGCCTCTCAGCTCACAAATTTTGTATAAGGGGCTAAAGAACTCCCATTATTTTTAGAACCATGAATATATTTACCATAGAGAGAGAACCATGTGTACAAACGTGGTACAGAGCCGTGGAAAGCATATAAAATCAAAATAATGACAAGCTTCCCAACCTTCAGTTTGTGATATGTGACAAACATATGTAAAGGTGTAACGAAGCTTTTATAAACTGTACTCCTCAATATGAGGCATTATATTATAATAATCTGTACTACCTAGCTAAGTCACAATAGTAACTCAAGTGAATTGATGAAGGAGTTATCCACTATTTTGCATTAATAAAGGTGGAATTTTATTATGGGTCATTTATGAATATTGATGATATATGCAGATTTTATAGTATTTTTGAGTTTAGTTTACATTTCATATCTACAATACAAACCAGCCCAATTTTCATATATAAACAAATAAACAATTCTTACCAAGAAAGATGCCATGAATAAATTATTTGTTCTTCAGAGATTTAAGTAAAAACAAAGATAATTATTTAAGTGGGTATATTTGTTCATTTTTTCCCCAAGGATATTATTTGCTTTGTAATAATATCGTACATATTATATCAAAAGGGGACACTTCAATGATGGATTTTACAGATGATATTCAAGGCAGAGAATCTCACTCTAAGGTACAATGTTAAGTCAAAGAGAGGAAATTCATAAAGGCTCAAAAGCATAATACTTCTGTTAAGTGTTAAGACTGCCAAACTGGAGGAATCTAGCCCAAGAAAATAGAGTTAATTTCTTTACTTTTACTTACACTATTTAACTTTAAAGGGAGTGAGCCCAAAAAGCTGGGAGGATTTTAGAAATGTAAAAAAATAGAATAATTTTCACTAACAAAAATTAGGATTAAAAGCTATGAAAAGATTTTACTGATGAATGATTTAGTCATGATAAATAAAAAAAACCATAAGAACTGATGACAAAAATGTAATCTATTTCCTCTTCAACTCTTTTTCTTCCTATTATCTTTAGAGTGATCTTTCCTCTCTCCCCTAGAATCAGATATTTAAGGAGCTACTTACATGTGATGCACCTCCTCTTCTGCAAAATTTGGACACATACTTAGGGGAAAACAAGTGGTTTATTGGTGACTCTGTGAGTATGTTTTACATCTTAAAAAATGCATGTACATATATATGGATAAATAAAAAACTATAAAAATGTATTGAAAAAAGTGTTACCCATAGGGAAGAAGTAGGTTAGAGAAGTAGGAAGTAGGTTAGAGAAGTAGGTTAGAAGGACAAAAGCTAAACTTCTTTGAATAAACCTTTCTTGGTGATGTTAACTTTGGAAAAACATACTAAAGTATATGTTATATAACAATAACAAAAATTTAAAAAGCTATCACTGACAAACTATAGCAAAGTGAAACAAATGAACTTGTGTCAAACTGGTGAATAGAGTATGTGGAGAAATACCTCTGTACTCTATTAGTTAAAAACTAAGAAAAACATCATCACTGGTAAAACACAGTGATTTGACTATACACATCTCATTATAAATATTTTCTCAGGGCAAACAATATTAATCATATGCCAGTTTCAGTTCACAATGTACTTTATTTTAGGGTAAAGAGAAAAGGCATTCTGTGTCTTTTTCTTGAAAAAATGACCGACTTACTTGTCCTGGGCAACCCTAGGACCCAAATCCTTGTCTCTAAATTCTAAAAGTAACTGGTTTCTTGGAGAAACAGCTCATTCTCAGTTTGGGACAAGAAATGTAAAACATGAGCTGAGAATACTTTGTTATACCAGAACCAAATTAATTATTAAAAAAAAAACAACCCAAAATTGGGAGCTGTGTCAAAAGGACCTAGAAGGCAACTTGTAGACACTCTCACTGGCCAAAGATGAGCAAAACTGTCTTAACACAAAACCTTTATAATAAAGTACTGAATGTCTCATGTAAGTATTGAACACTGTAGTAAAAGTCAAAAACAGGATGGTTGTATGGGTAGACAATGGTTGTTAAGTATATCAGTTGTTTACCCTCCTGATCACACGGTTCACTGCCACAGCCCAGCATCACACGAGAGTTCTATACGGCATATCACTAGCCTGGGAAAAGGTCAAAATTCAAAGTGTGGTTTCTAAAGAATACGTATCATTTTTGCACCACGGTATAGCCAAAAAATTGTAAAGCTGAACCATTGTAAGCCAGAGACAGACTGTCTATATTCAGAAAACTGAAAAACACAAAGTGTGTGTATATGTGTGTTGGGGGGGGGGGGGGGGGGGTGTTGAATAAAGCATTTATCTTGCCATTCTTATGCCAATTAAACCTCAAGATAAAAAAAAAGATGGGACAAAGTTTGTATTCATAAGTTTCTTAGTTAATAAGCAAGGCAAGATTAAAATAAACCATCGCTATCTTCCAACCCATGATGAATGAATAGATCTAAGCACTGATTATCAACAGTTGTTAATATCACAAAAGAGAGAGAACCAGATATTATATGGGCCTGCTAATAGAGGAGCACACCGTCACCAATGAAGTAGTCTTGCCAAGAAAAAGTTCAAATCTAAATCTGATTGAGAAGCTGTGTTAAATTGGGGCACCTGCCTTCAACGAGACACCATTCTAGGAGACAAGATATTGCTTTTTGCCAAACTTTGGGACTTACTCTAGTTGCTATCTGCTGAGTCCTGAAGAGACAGAGAAGCAAACTTGCCATGTCTTTTGTTCCTTTCTCTGCCCTATTGATTGAACAATTTCTAATGACTTAAAAATATTTTTTCTTCTGCTTTTTATTAAAATTTCTTCATAATCTATCTCCTGACTCCATCCCTCAGCACTTTCTCCCTTCCTCCAAATGTTCCAAACACTCTGGTGTTTTGTTTTTCCCTTAGATACAAGTCATACTCCTGCCTGAAAGCCTTTACACTCGCTCTTCCTTCTGCCTGAAATGTTTTAATTCCCAAATCACTGCACATCTGAACCTTTCTATCATTCAAGCCTTAGCTTAATTGTCACCTCTTAAAGGACTTCTCTAACCATCTGAGAACCTCTCTTATCACTGTCTTCATCACCCTTATCACTTCACGTGGATTTTGTTTTTTGTTCCTTAATTGAAGTACAGTTGATGCGCAACATTATATGTTACTGGTATACAACATAGTGATTCACAATTTAAAACTTATACTCCATTTATAATTATTATGTAATATTGGTTATATTCCCTGTGTTGTACAATAGTTCTTTATAGCTTATTTTATACATAATGGTTTGTATGACTTAATCCCCTCTCCAATATGTAAGAGCAGGAGTAGGGAACACTTTCTACCAGTGTCCATGTGGTAGACATCTCCCATAAGTGGCTGCTGCCAGTTTCCCTGTTCCCAGCACGAACATAGAGGACAAGCATGAGCCACAACTTCCCTCCTGCATCTCTGGAAGACTTTTCAAGACCAGTGGATAAATCTTCCCCAGGCTCCTATCAAAGTGCTGATTCTGCCCTGGATCCTGGTGTGAGATCATGTGTGTCCCCTAAGTTTCTATTTCCCCAGTTGTTTGAAAACTTCCAAAATCAAACTCCGCTGGTCTTCAAAGCCAAATACTCTGGGGCCTTGTCTTCCTGGTGCAGGACCCCTGGGCTAGCGGCCCTGACTTAGGGCTCAGAACTCACTCCTGTGGGAGAACCTCTGCAGTATGTTTATTCTCTAATTTGTTAATTATCCCCAGCAAGATAAGGGACTAGATTAATTATATTATGAATCTGCCCCTCCTACCTGTCTCACTGTAGTTTCTTCTTTATGTCTTTAGTTGTAGATCTTTTCTGGTAGATTCTGGTCTTTTTCATTGATGGTTGTTCTGCAGACACTTGTGATTTCTGGTGCACTTGTAAGAGAAGGTGAGATCAGGGAGGCGAGTTTTCTACTCCACAATCTTGGCCGATCCCCTGCACCACACTTTCCATGTTTGATTGTCTTCCTGCTTCTAAAGTGAGAACTTCATCAGAGAAGGGTCTTGCATCACATCTTGCTCTCTAGTCAATCCCAGCACTTAACCTGTACAGGGCACATAGTAGGTACTTCATAAATACTGGTTGACTGAATTCTGAATCCTCTAACCAATAAACTGTCCTATTAATGTTGAAGATGTTAAGTGAGCAAGTTCATAAAACACTAGCAATCTGCATTATTAAATCCCAAACAAAAGCAAAACTAAGAAGAGTCCATATTTAAACTTTACTCTTTGATTGACATTTATATGGAGCCAAAGTAACATCATCCAGATTAGTTTCTAGTCATAAAGTAACAAAACAAGTGTACAAATTAAAAATAAAAACAAACAAAAAAGGTATACAAGAGTAGGACTAGGCTGTCATTGTCCTACTGTACAGTGGCCAGTTATACTAGTGGTCAGACATATATTACGTCTTCTGATGTGATCCAGTATATATGTTATGTTAGCCAAAAGTACTTAACTTAAAGCCATGTACTCTCTAAAGATAACTTGTACTCTATTCCTTTTTACTCTGCCATATAAAGGAACAAGGTAAAGATGAAATAATTATAAAAATCCTTAAGGCAAGGACATTGTGCAGCACTAGTGTGGAATCTTCAATAAATAATTCAATGATATGGAATAAAAAAGTGGGGGGGGGGAGTACTGTTCTCAATTGAGAGTTAAAGGATATAACCAAGTGAAACACACGGTCCCAGAATGGATACTGCTGCTTTGTCCTATAAAAGACATTTGGGGAACAGATGGAAAAGCATTGATAGGGTATTAGATAACATAAAAATGTATTGTCACAGAAAGGTGGAGACTGAATCAAGTTACAAAAGACTATGTACTATAATATCTCATTTTAGTAAAAATACACACATATGCATAGAAAAATAACCTTATACCAAAGTGTTAATATGAGTAACCTCTGGGCTTGGGAGTATGGTGTTATCTGTAATCTTCTATCATATACACATTCTGCTTTTGTAATTACAGACTATTCTGAATTAAAAAACAATTTTTTTTTTACATTAAGAAATTAGGCCTTTTATGTTCCAATGAAAATTTGTTTCCTTTAAACTAGGTAACTTGGGCAGACTTCTACTGGGAAATTTGCAGTACCACACTTTTGGTCTTTAAACCTGATTTGTTGGACGTCTATCCCAGGCTAGTGACATTACGGAAGAAAGTCCAAAGCATTCCTGCCATCGCTGACTGGATACTGAGAAGGCCCCAGACCAAACTCTAGGTAACGCCAGCCACCTCCAACCTTTATTCTTCTTTACAGCATCACTCTCATCAGATAAGAAGCTACATCAACATGCTGCATAATGTGCATACACCACCCCCTCAGCTCCGTTAATACTTTCATTTCTGCCATATTCTGCTTATTAAAAGAAAAAAAAAAGGAGGAAAGGGGATTAGAAAAAAAAAGACTTTTGTTTCCAGTATCTTTTTTCTCCAGAAGAGCTTCACATTATCTATAGCTTACAATACAGGCAGGCCATGCTTTGCACTAGTTCTGACAGGCATGAATTTCAGTCACAGTGGTTTAGTTACATATTTTCCAAAAACAGAAATGGTTTGGATTTCAGTTTCCATGGTGTATTAATGAGTAATTGCATAAAGTATAAATCTTGCTGCTAGCGCGTCAGTCCACAAGTCACTATGTAAATAACAGACAGATACATGACCAACCATGCCACTTCTTTCACACTCTGTTGGTGATTGGTCACTGCACGCCTGTCATTTACAAACAGACAGCAAAGTGTGTAGTTGTGCTGCCTGCTTGTTTCTCAGTGATACACCCACTTGACATTTTACAAAAATGGATAATTGAAAAAGGGAACTCACCCGCAGCAAAGGAAACCATTAACAAAATGAAAAGACAACCCTTAGGAGAAAATACTTGCAAATGAAGCGACAGATAAGGGATTAAATCTCCAAAATATACCAAAAGCTCATGCAACTCTGTCAAATATCTAACAACTTAATCAAAAAATTGGCAAAAGATCTAAAGAGACATTTCTCCAAAGAAAACATGAAATGGCCAAAAAACACATGAAAAGATGCTTACCATCACTAATTATCAGAGAAATGCAAATCAAAGCTGTTGCTTCAATGAGGTATCACCTCACAGTAGTCAAAATGGCCATCATCAAAAAGTCTATAAATAATAAATACTAGAAAGGGTATGGAGAAAAGAGAACCCTCTTACACTGTTGGTGGGGATGTAAACTGTTACAATCACTATGGAGAACGGTATTCAAATTCCTTAAAAAACTAAAACTAGAAGTATCATATGATCCAGCAATCATATACCTGGGCATATTTCCAGAGAAAACAATAATCTGAAAAGACACACACCTGATGTTCATCGCAGCACTATTTACAACAGCCAGGGCACTGAAGCAACCTAAATGTTTATCAACAGAGGAAGGGCTAAGAGGTGGAACATGTATATATAATAGAATACTATTCAGCCATAAACAGAATGAAATAATGCCATTTGCAGCAACATGGACGGACCTAGACATTATCACACTATGTTAAGTGAGCCAGAAAAATATCATGATATCACTTACATTTGGGATCTAAAAAAGATACAAATGAATTCACTTACAAAACAGAAACAGACTTACAGATATTGAAAACAAATTTACGGTTACCAAAAGTGAAAGTGTGTGTAGGGGGGAATAAACGAGGAGTTTGGGATGAACAAACATATACTACTATATATGACAGATAACCAACAAGGACTCTACTGTATAGCACAGGGAACTCTATTCAGTATTGTAATTACCTATATGACCAAAGAATCTAAAAAATATATGTACGTATAACTGAATCACTTAGCTGTACAGCTGAAACAACATTGTAAATCAATTATACTCCAATAAAATTAAAGTATTAAAAAACAAAAGAAAAAGAGAACTCACCAACAAAGATGAAAGTGCAGTAAAGTGATAATGCTGGAGTGAAATTCAAACTGAACATAAATGGAAAAACACTCTTCAGACAGTCTGAAGAACTCGGTGAAGGCAAACTTACTGACATAAATGAGGAAAGTGGTTGTGACAAAGATGAAGATGTCCTGGAGGAAGTGAGACTGGTGAAAAATCCTTCACATTAAAAGAACAGAAGATGAAAAGAATGAGAAGCCAAGCCACATATAGAAGAAAATATCTGCAAAAGGACTTTATCCAAAATATACAAAGAACTCTTAAATATCAACAATAAACAACCTGATTACAGAATGGATGAAAACATCTGGATACACACCTCATCAAAGACACACAGATGGCAAATAAGCATATGAAAAGATGCCCAATATTATATGTTACTAGGGAACTGCAAACAATGAGATACTATTATGTACCTATTATAAAGGCAAAAATTCAAAATATACCACCAAATACTGTCAAGGATGTCGGGCCACAGGAACTTCTATTCACTTCTGATATAAATGCAAAATAGTACATATACCTCGGAAGAGAGTTTGGCAATTTCTTACAAAATTAAACATACTCTTACCGTATGATTNTTATAAAGGCAAAAATTCAAAATATACCACCAAATACTGTCAAGGATGTCGGGCCACAGGAACTTTTATTCACTTCTGATATAAATGCAAAATAGTACATATACCTCGGAAGAGAGTTTGGCAATTTCTTACAAAATTAAACATACTCTTACCGTATGATTCAGCACACTCTGGTATTTGCCCAGGGGAGTTGAAAACAGGTCCACACGAAAACCAGCATATTGATGTAGCCTCATCAATAATTGCCAAAACTTGGAAGCAACCAAAATATCCATTAGTAGGTTAATGGATGAGAAAACTGTGGTATACCCAACAAGAGAACATTTTTCATTGCCAAAAAGAAATGAACTATCTAGCCATGAAAAGACATGGAGAAAACTTACATGTATTTTTAAAGCGTAAGACTATTCTGAGAGATACTATAATAGGTTCATTCGGCAAACCCATAGGCTGTGCATCAAGAGTGAACCTCAGTGTAATCTATGGACTTTTGGTGATTATGTCTCAATGGAGGATCACTGATTGTAACAAATGTATCATTTTGGTGTAAGATGTTGAAAGTGAGGGAAGTTGTGTTTTGTGGGGACAAGGGTACATGGGAACCCTCTGTACTTCCTGCTTAATTGGCTATGAACCTAAATCTTCTCTACTAAACTCAGTTTAAAAACAAAAAACAACGGGGGTGGGAGGAGTTATTGGTGGGAGGAGTTATTTCCTAACACTGAAAGAGCAATGCTGGAAGCTGACTGAAATCAAGGATTATGACTATTTGCCAAGGTAAAAAAAAAAAAAATTCTTGCCTGCAAGTTTTACAGGAAGGTACTGTTCAAACTACTTTGATAAATTTTTTACAAAAACTAAATTTTCTCAATGTTTCTAATATTTTATAGTGCACTAAAGACTAGTTTTCCTATTTTGTTCATTTACTTATACATTTATTTTATGCTGACAAAATTTTTAAAGGTCATGGAACCATCATTTTTCCTGATTATTTTACACTTTCAACTTGAATCATTTTTATAGTTCTACATGACTGTTTAAGAACTACCCATATAAACAAGCCATTTATATAGAAATCTTTCAATTAACTGTATATTTGGATTATCCCAACCTATTTTAAACCATAATTATATTGAAAAATAACATTTTAGTTCAATATACATGTTAATATTATTGAGTTGTCTAATCTTCATATCAGGAAACAGATTAAGAAAACAGATAGCCTTATCCATGAAATGAATGGCAGAGGAAAGAGAATATAGTTAAGAAGCAAAAAGTGGGGACAGGGTGTGGGAAAAAAAGAAAGAAAAGGCAAGTCCATCTACGTGTGATCTTGTTGAAGGTGCTTCTTCTTCATAACAATGTCCTATGAAATCCGGGGGAAAAAATTACTGTACACATTGTTAAGACTTACACTGAGAGTCAGAAAGAGAAATATCATATTCTAACACATATATATGGAATCTAGAAAACTGGTACTTTAGAATCTATTTACAGGGCAACAATGGAGAAGCAGACAGAGAAGAGACTTGTGGACACGGGGAGAGGGGAGGAGAGGGTGAGCTGTATGGAAAGAGTAACAGGGAAACTTACATTCCCATGTGTACAATAGAGAGCCAACAGGAATTTGCTGTATGGCTCAGGAAACTCAAACAGGGGCTCTGTGTCAACCTAGAGGGGTGGGACGGGAGGGAGATGGGAGGGAGGTTCAAAAGGGAGGGGATATATGTATACCTGTGGTTGACTCATGTTGAGGTTTGACAGAAGACAGCAAAATTCTGTAAAGCAATTATCCTTCAATAAAAAATAAATTAAAAACAAACAAACAAAAAAAGAATTACACTGAGACACAAAGTGTATTTCTCAAGTATTTTGCTTCTTCAGATTACTTTTCTTACTGTTAGTAGCTGTTAAGAAATGATAATAGGTTGTAAGTAACTTCTCATTGCAAAGTCCTCATATATGTCATCAGGGCAGTCTGGAGGAAAAAAAAACAAAACTGTCCTTCACAGAAGAAATTCAAATACTCTAGATAATAAGGTAGAAACTTTTCTTCCCTCTTATGTATATTGATTTTCCTCCACATAATTACATTCTAACAAGCTTTAATGAAAATAGAACTTAGTAAGTGATAAATACAATATTTATATAATTATGGAAACTCTATAATGAGTCCCACCGTTTACACATATTGTGATTCAATAGAAAATGCAACCATAGCAGATTTTACAAGGAAATATTTCAGTCATAGCATCATCATAACCTTTAGGTCATCTTTTTTTCACTGAAAAGAACAACATATACCATTATTCCATCCTGTATTTAAACATCTCCTCACTGAGCAAGTAAGCAAGGGTGAGAGTACATGAATTAATCACGGCAGAAATGAACAGCCTATTATATTTATAATTAGTAAGAAACCACACCTTTTGGGAAGTTAAAACAATCAATTCCTTAATTTTATAGACCATTTAAATATTTTGCTTAAGATCACACAAATGGAAACCAAATCTCCTAATACTCTTATCTAATCATTATACAATAACACCAACAATGAGGAACAGTATTAATGTTTCAACATACATATCTATTGGTATAAAGTTACAAGACTATGGGGTCAGAACTAAGAGTTATAAAAACACATTATGTCTTTTATCCCTGTGTGACCTGTATTAACAAAACATACGGTGCTTCAGTTGGCCAAACATTACTCCAACAACTGTGGCTTCATATGCTCTTTACTGATGATGGATTTCAAATTTTACTGATATCAGTTCAATAAAAGGACTAATGAGAATACATCCAAAGTAATCATTCCAGTTTACTGAGAAAGAGACAATATTAAGCACATAATACCATTTGTGCTCAATACAGAAACTACTACAAAATGTATGATAATACTACTTATGATCATAATTATTTTTATTAAGCCAAAAACATAACAGAGCTTTACAGGGAGAACCCAACTACATTTAATTAAACATAAAAATATGGATTAAACAACAACAAAAGAAACAGCCTATCGCTGAAGACACATTAATACAAGAAAGTTACAAGGAACCCATTTAAGATTTTTAGAAGGTAACATTCTTAACAATATAAGTGATTTGGGTACCATGATGTAGAAGGAAGTAGTGATACTACCTGCAGAGTCCTTTCAATCTTTCACTTTTAAGACTGGGTAAGTCTACTGAGTCATGAGTTTTCAGGGTATATAATATCTGAAGAACCACTATAAGAGCGTCATTAGCCTTCAACTGAAGAGTTATATTACTCTAGAAACTTAGAAAGTCAGGATGTTGTGAAAGTATAATCTTCAATAATGAACAAATCTTTGATTTATAAATAAGTTTATTTATAATGATATTTACATAATAAAACAAAACACATGAAACTCACAAGTTATACAAAGAAACTGATGTATAATAAAAACAGCAATATAGACCAACAGGCAAAAATTTAAAGAAAGATTTAATAAAGAGTTAAATATCAAGTAGACAACTTTACTTCTAAATTTCACTTTGTCACCCACACTGAATTGGAATTGAAGAATGGCCCTTTCTTCAGGAGGTCCTGTACTGGAAATTCTGCAAAGTGGTAAATTATATTTTGATAAGAATTCAAAGTTAATGACCTATTTCCATGCAGTACCTAATGCTGCCTTAAAATGAAGTCACATTCAGTCTGCTTTGAAGTTAAACAGCCTGCTAATCTGTTCTGCCAGACTAGAAAAATGTCACCAACATTTTGCTGATATGTGGAGATGTGACAGGAATAGACTACTATTTAGAGTAGAGAGAACTGGAGCAGAAATGACTGGGCAACAGTTTCAAGAGAAGCAAAAGCCAGGGGAGGGAAAATAATGAAAACATGCACAAGAATAGGTAGACTAGTAAGCACAGTTAGTGCAGTTGGGAAATGAACAGAAGGATTTACTTCATGGAGCAAGATAAAGGCTTCTTCAGTTACTATTCACTGGAAAACAACTTAGTGCCTAGCCAAACAAATTTGTGTTAACAGAAGTACTTGGGAGGACCTGGGCGGGGGGGTTAGTATATGGAATGCCACCTTTAAATTCAGGTTGAGTTCTTGTTGATAGTGGTGAACATCTGTTTCAAATAGCAATAAAATGAAAGCTATATAATCTATACAGCTGCATTCTTTAACATAATAAAAAAACAAACTTCAAATGAGACGAGCAAAAACAAGACATAAGCATTGTCAAATAAGGCACATGTAAAAATCTACACACATTATCCAGTGAAAGACAATATATATATATATCTGGAGGTAGAAATAATTACAAAAATACTGACATTTCTAAAGCATTAGCGTATTTGTTACAAACAATCACCAACTAATCCCCATTCAGAAAACTGTTTTGTAAAATGATTATTTAACATCTTCAAGACTACATATTCGTGGCTTTTTTTGAAATTTCACATGTGAGCATCTGGAGAATTCAGTTAGTGGCAAAAAAGTTGTCCATACTATGAGAAATGTAATATGGAAATTATAAAAAGTTATAAATGTTCATAAACCCCATCGGTCATCAATGTAAATGTCCTTGAGTGCACCAAGTTGATATTTCCTCATCAGTCAGGAATTAACAATTCTCATTTCACAGGCCCATTGATGTTTTTAGTAATGTGGCTATATCTGCTGGCATACTTCCTTCGTCACCTGCAGGTCAGAAACTGGTGTTAAAAGTTTGATAAAAAATATTTCATGAAGCATGCTTCTTTCCAATTTTCTTCACTTTTGGTGAATCCTTAATCATCTTTCAAAGCCCAGTTAGATTCAGCGTTACTCCCTGTTAAAAACTTTCCCAAATTCCTACAAATATTAGGGCTAAGGGCTACTTCCCCTGTGCTCATGTTCACATTGCCAGCGGAGCTGTCTACAGCTTCTCTTTCTGATTTGATAAAGATATAAAGACATGCATATAGACAGCCTGGATCAAATCCTATTTATTCACATAGTATTTACTCCTCAGGTTCACTAAATAAAAGCATCTATGTAACAATCTGAATGTGAAAATAAACACAAAACTCACAAATCCAACCAAACAGAAATAATTTCATCTAAACTTATTTTCAGTCCAAAGATAACAATCATTGATTTAAAGAAAATTTCAATTAAACAAGACCCCAGTATCTAGACACTTATCCAGGTGTCTCTCTTTCTCTGTCACTCATACAGACCCCAGCTATAGTCTAAACTTAAGACAATACTTTTATCTACTCTTCTCCCTTCAGTAAAAAAATATTCATAAGATGACAAACCACTGTATAAACTCTCAGGAAATTCACTGACATGCTTGCCTCTAATCCTGTCCAAAGACTTGAAAACAGTCCATGAAATCCAAATTTAACAGCACATAAAAAAGTAAGATATAGAAATAACTGGTCATACAATAAAAAATAAACTTTATGAGGACACTGGGTGATAGAGTGGGAAGGAGGCTTTTATTTGCCCTTTTGTATCTTAGGAATCTTGAACTATGTGGATTTATCTACTTTTATTTTAATAAAAAATTAAAAATCATTCTCTTCAAAAAGATGGGAGGAAATGGAGAGGGTTCTCCTATTTGATGATTGTTTAGTTGCTCTTTAATTTGAAATTATTCAATTTTTTAATAAATGCATTTTATTGTACTCTATAGAGTAATGAGTATTTTGCTAGGCAAAATGAAATGAATATAAAAGAGTTCTTAAGAAAATATTGTGCCATGTGCTTTGGATTCATAAATATTTCTAAAATAGTAAGTAAATTATAAAACTGCAGATAAAATTATGGACCCAATTTTATTTCTGGGATATTTTTGTATCAGAGACTGGGAATGGAACAGACAGAATTTTTCATAATCAAAGTAGTTTTACCAGTTCTGGCAAAATGATCTTAGTTGTTGCAGTGCTTCTGACACAAGTATGCTTATCTTCTGTGCTATCCATAATCTGCATACCAGTCAAGGACTCAGACCATCTTTGTGACTCCCTGCTACTGCTAAGTTGATGCCTTCCCATATTAATAAAGTTTATGCTCACAAAAAACTCACCTTCATCTACTGTGGTCATATCTTGTTCTAGTTTCAATTTCTGTTGGTTAATTTTTAGCATGGATTCTTCAATTGTCCCTTGGCCTATTAATTTTATAACTAGTACTTCTCTAAAGAAAACACAAGATATGTCCACTGGTTACTTAATATAAAATTATTTGATATATATAAACTATTAAATACATAAATCACTTAAGAATGTGGTAAGAAATAAATAGAAAATTGTTTAACATATACATCCATAAATTTAAATTCTTTTATTCACACTATTTGAGGCTGACATTTTCTGAGCATGTCACTTTCAAACATCCTTATTGATTCAAGAGATAAGAAAAAGGTATCTATAAACATTGCTGGTATAGACTGTATTATAACAAACAATTCTGGGTTCAGGTAGGTATTTCATTTTAACAAAGAACATGCTTTGCTTCTCAGGTTCCAAGAGATCTAGTTTAGTACAAAAAGTATGGAAGTGTTGTAAAGTATAAAGATTACATAGGAGGTTTTAGTTCTACAACAAGTACTAATAAATATTTGGTTCATAAATGAACTTATCAATGTCTTTTGGAAATACAGTAAAATACCCCACAAAGATGGATTGTTTGCTGTTTACATTGAGAACAGAGTTGAATTATAGGTATTTTCACCTCTTTATGTCCTGTGAGCAATGTCTAATCTAACCTTCACCTAAAATACCTACAGCTCACATAATCTATTTCCTATGAGGTAAGAAGGAAGCAACTGTATCACATTACCAAATCTGTCTGGCTCTTACATGGCTTAACAAGAAGTTATTTCAATCACTAATCTTTTTCAGAGGGGCTGGGTGGGCCATTGGTAGGACTGAACGATATGGACGGGGGGTGGGAGGTTATTCTGTTTTTTATTTTTTAGGCTGCACCATGTAGCCTGTGGGGTCCCAGTTCCCCAACCAGGGATTGAACCCGCGCTCCTGGCAGTGAATATGCCTAGTCCTAACCACTGAACCTCCAAGGAATTTCCTGCTTTAATTACTAGAATATGAATAGGTTACATAGTGGAGTTCATATCCAACACTGTTGGTATAACATACCACAGGAGCCTTGCTTTGCTGAAAATATAAAAACAAACAGCGGAGGTAGGACATCTGACAGATCATATTCTAATATTCTATAGAAATTAAACTGGCATTTGATTAAAAATAAATTCCAACTGCAGACACTCACTTTGTCTGGCCTACTCGATGGCATCTATCTTCTGCCTGTTTGTCATTGTAAGGGTTACAGTCAATGTCATGAAGTATAACGACATTTGCTGAAGTCAGGTTAATTCCCAAGCCACCAGCTTTTGTTGACAGCAGAAACACAAAGATATCCATATCGGTATTAAATTCATCAATTAGATGAATCCTACAAGATAAACATATAAGGTTAAATCTCACAAAAAGGTTTATAATGAAAACTGAAAGCAATCACATCACATGGAAAATAAACTTCAAGATGTAAATATATGGTCTTGGCACTCTAGTTATTTTTCTTTTCTATACCATTTATCTCCCTACTATTAATAATTCTTACTTTTAACTATGCAGATTTGATTAATTCCTAATTAATTTTGTCTTTTGTGAAAAGACTCTTGGCTTTTCTAAATTCTGATATGGCTTTGTGATCTTTAACCTTCTTAGAGTCAGTCAGTTATGACTCAGACAATATATCTGATGAACCACTAAACTATAATGGTGTATTCTCTTTAGCATTACTTCTCTTCTTACTCAACGCAGGAAAAAAAAAATTTACTCTGGCTGATAAAAAAATAAACCAAAGATATAATGCAGTTTAAACACACTAGAAAAAGCACTGCTTTTTAAGACAACCAAAACCCCAAACTTACTCAACTACCCTCAAAATAAGAAAAGTCCAAGATTTTAAGGTAATCTTCGTTTAAAGATAATGTGTTCTAGACTCAGAATGATTTTCAAAGAGAAAAGCACTGAAACACATATAACTCTACTAGTTGTTTCAAAATATATTTGAATATGATTCAGACCAAAAATTAAAATTTTCCTCATCTTAAGGTAATGAATGATCTAAAGTAACCAAACATAAGACTCAAAGCAACATACAACTCCATGAAAAGCTCTAGACATTTAAAATTCTAACATTTACTCTTATTTGAGAGTAAGGTAGAGAGATTTTCTGAAACCAAAGTATACCTACCTTTCAGAAATCTGAGTCTTCCCATCTAATCTGAGGTACCTATGCTGATGATGTTTTAAGAGAACCTCCAAAATATCCAGCATCATGGTAAATTGGCTAAATAATACAACTCTATCACCCTGTGGAAATACATATATTAGTTAGATACATAAAAAATAAAAATTTAAGTATCTAATGAAAAACTGCCTCTTTAATAATAATAATCAAGTAATCATAGCTAAGATAAATTTCTTATTTTAGATTGTATATAAATTATCTTCTAAACTTTGAACCTAAAATTGATTTTTAAGACTAATTAATGTGAATAGCTACAAAAAATACTAATTAGATTGTGATCTTACAAATCTAAGCTATTTCATATGTAAACATTATGCATTAATTTATGTTAATGCTCACATGTAAGGATTAATTTATGTTACCATTGTATCTTCAAAATAGTAAGCTTGAAGCAATTATATAGAATGTCACCTATGAAATAATGACAATTTTATTTTAAAAATCAATATATTCTACTAACTTCTATTAGATGGAGGAAAAGTAATCAGGAAATCATGCCCAAACACATCCAAAAAATGCTCAAAACACTAATTTCTAGAAGAATGTAGAACATGGGCTAAAACCTCAAGAAAGTCAAATCATGCCAGAACTATTTTAAAGTAGCTGAACTAATTGGGAAAACATATAAGGGAGAAATATTCTTCTTTAGTACCTTCTGCTTCAATTCAGACAAGATGCATCCTAAAACTCGAAATTTTCCAGAATCTAAAATCAAGTCCATGTCTAACTGGAAGTTATTAATATGTCGATACTGTTTACAAAGTACATGTAATTCGAAGTCTGTCATAACTTCCATATCTTCAAAGATCAGGTCAGGGTTAGCCTCACAATGTGTAGGTTCCTCAAAATAAAACAGAACAAAACAATATACACCTCAAAATGAAGGTAATTTATAATATGATTAGAACAATCTAGTGAAATTGTTGAGATCAGGTAAAACATCTAAGTCATTAGATATTTCAGTGCAACAGATTTGGCAAAGGAAATTAATATTTATTTTTTAGCTATAATACAGATAAGTTCTTACTGTTTTAGAGATAACATACTGATATATTTACAGTTGAAGTAATATCTAGAATTTGGTTCAAAATAATCCTGGGGAGGATTCTAGGTGAAACAAGAGAGAGCAGTCTCATTCCAGATGATAACTGTAGAATATAGGTGAAGGTTACACAGGTAGAAGCTTTCATTATACAATTCTCTCTACTTTCACATGTCTAAAATTTTCCATGAATTTAATATAAAAACAGTTACAGAAGACATGGAAACAAAAGCACATGGCTATTTTAGAACAAAACTTTATTTGTAAACATAGCTACTGTCATATTTGGTCTTACGGTCATAGTTGGCTGACTCTTGATGTAGACTGTCAATCCTTGGCTCTTCTGTCTCCTAATTGTTTTCAACTTTGTCTTAAAAATGTTTTTCTTAAATATTTGGTTAAAGGGTTAATATCCTTATTAGGTTCAATGGTCTGACTTTTAGACTAACAATGAATTTCAAGCTTAATAGTGCTAATAAAGCATACTGTTATCATGCAAAATCCTTACCTTTAGCATAAGCTGAGACATTTCCTTGAGTTTTTCAGCTGTGTAATATTGGCGATGTAATAAAGGATGATTGGCCATTTTTCTCAATTGCATCATGACATTGCACATTTCTGTATTTTTTTCTGTGATCCAAAAAGTACACATTAAAAAAAAGTTGATGGCTGTTTGCTGAAATACATCTCAATGCAAACAAAAGGTTTTAAAACTATTTCTTCAAATTGGAACTTAAAAAAAAAGCAAAAGCAAATCCCATTATCATACGATTAAATAAAAAAGCAGTTCCAGTAAAGGATTATTCTTTACATAAAATTGTGAAAATAAGGTTATACCCATGTTATTGATAGACTTTTTCAATCTGTTGAAGAGACTCATATAGAGTTGTTCCTGCTTCTCTGACATTGCACATAACTCAATTCGATCTTTTTTGGGGGGCAGCTGCTTGAGAACCTGTGAAAGGAAAACAGTTTAAGCAGATCATTCAAATAAAGAGTAAAAAAGATTTTAAAACCAATCATAATAAAAATACACAGATAAGAGTTACCTCTTCTTTTACTCTTCTGAGAATAAATGGTTTTATAATTTGTTTTGCATGTGCTATTCTCTCCTTTTCATATATACTTTGCTCATCTGCTGATTTCTAAGTAAAGTAAGAAAATGACATTTTAAAGTTATTACACAACATGAAACTCTCCCTCACTACATTCTGAGTTTTTCCCATAGAAATTCAATTCATTCTAGATGGAACTTGAATTCTGGGCTGACATATAGTTCTTAAGACTCCACATGTACTTTCAGGTTTTGTGACAAATCATGTACTCTCCGGAGGTAATGAAATTGAACTGCACTAGGGTAATGTTCAGAAGTAATTAACTCGTGAGTCATTACTGATCAGATAACTCTCTTAAAAAGATATGTGTGTATTTAAGGGAGTTTGGGTGGAGGTAAAGAGAGAGAGAAGTAGAAACTTGTATCTGTTTGTGGAAAATGGCCCCCAAAGAAAGCTGGTGCAGGTGATGCAAATCATTAGTCTATACAAACAGGGTAGTTTCTAGCCAAAACCTGTTAATTTTGGAGAAGAGGAACTTTATACTAAGATTTTAAAGGAATCCTCCATATCCTATGATCTGCTAAGGCCACCACGTGGAAGGGAATACATTAATGAAATTAGAAAGGCAGCTGGCAGGAGATTATCAGAAAATTCTCACAAAATACATGTGATTTGTGAGAGTGTCAAGAACCTATATAAACACTGTTGTGCTGGAAAATCAGAGTTCCTGAAAACTATACTCTCACTTTTTCTAAGTAACAGGAAAAAAATTAACCATATTTTCTTGTAAATAAGATTTCTTTATTGTAACTTTTAATTTATGGAGTGTCAACGCAAAACATATCTTCCAGTATATGAGTTTTTGGGATATTTTACCTTGCCCAGCTTTATAGTTTACCTATTTAAAAAAAAAGCTAATTTATCTAATTTTTAAAAAGAAGATGATATGATCAAACTTTCTCCACATATTAAATATCTGAGCTATCCACTGATTTGAAAAGATGATTCAGAGAATCAGGATATTAAAAACCAAAACTTTCAGACAATGATTATAGAAGTCTCCAGTTTATTTCCTATTGTATTTTGGCTGACTTCCCAACTCATCCAAATACAGGGATATCAACCACTTAAACTTATTTCATAGGACATGTGTCTGACGAAAACAAAAAAAAAGACAAAACAAAAAAATGGTCCAGGTAAAACACAAAGTAAGACATTTGAAAAAAAAAATGAATTTATGCTTACTGTCTTAGAAGAAAACATTCTTCGTATTTCACTGGTGCTACTACTGAACATGTGTGGCATAACAAAATTCAACAGCGACATGAGTTCTAACAGGTTATTCTGCACAGGTGTGCCTGTGAGCAGCAGACGGTTATTTGCCTATGAACAAAGGTAAAGTTTAGATTTAGTGTTGCCTTAAAAGAAAAAAAGATCTATATACTTTTTAGTTATCTTCCTCAGTGGAGGAGAAAAAAATTAAAACCACTATTAGTAATAAAATATTCTGTGATGAAAGGTAAGTAATTCTAAAAAATTATCATCTATTGTACTTCAAGGTAGAATGTATAAAACATTCAGTTTTTAAGTGGGTAATTCAAGTTCCCACATTATTTTTCTATGAAGCAATGAAAGGAGACAGATTACATCTGATATCTATAAAGTTTATCCTATAGTACAAAGGCTGGCAAACTGAAGCTCATGAGCTAAGAATGTTTTTTACATTTTTAAAGGGTTTAAAAAAAAAGAAAAAGCAAAAAGCAAGTGATAGTAGCTGAATGGCCCATGGAGCATGAAAAGTTACTTATCTGGTCCTATGCAGAAAAAGTTTGCTGGTCCCTGATGTAAGATACCATACACACATATACACAAAATCTGAAATTTTATCATACTTGGAAAAATTCAGAGGACATTCTCTTACATTAATTGTCATAAGGTGCTGGTAGCGGATGGAGCCCATATTCTTCAGCATGTGGCCCTCATCAAAAATTGCATAATTCAGTTTCAGCCGACGAAATAGACTACGATCATCAGAACTGCTGATGGCACAGTTATACCTGTCACCAAAAGAAAAAAATCAGTCTCTAAGAATAAACCTTTAAAAGCATGGACTTAAGTGAGATTAATGTTTCAAAAAATTATTTTTATTTATATATTTCTAATAGCCAGTACCTAACACAGCTGGTACTCAAATAAATATTGATGCACTTATATCCAATAATTATTGATGTACATGTAAGTGTGTCTGTGTTAGTCACTTAGTTGTGTCTGACTCTTTGCGACCCCATGGACTATAGCCTGCCAGACTCCTCTGTCCATGGAATTCTCCAAGCAAGTACTAGAGTGGGTAGCCATTCCCTTCTCCAGTGGATCTTCCTGATTAAAGGATCAAACCCAGGTCCCCTGCACTGCAGGCGGATACTCTACCATCTGAGCTACCAGGGAGGATGATGTCCATGTAACCAAGTTACAAAAGCTACAATATGCAGTTAAAAGACAATTTATATGTTGGAATTAGACAATCTCTACACATCTAGGAAGAGGCCAATTCGGGTACAATTTATATGTGATCTGCAATTATCACACACTTTGCTTTATGAATTGTTATATTTTAAGAAGCAGTAGGAAAAAAAATGTGAAGCTAAGACATTTCTGTTAAGAACATAATGTGCTGTGTTTAGCTGTTCATTATACTAAACTGGTAGAGTTAATCCAAGAAATAACAAGTAACAGCAGCTTAGCAGCAGCAGCAGCAGTACAAGACTACATATGAAAATGGAGTCTCTTTTATTAAGAAAAGAGGATTTCTGGATGAATTCTTTTAATCATGGTCTCCTACAGAATTAAGAAGTGTTATTACAGTACTATATACCAAACTGAAAAATGCCTAAATCTTCAACATAACTCATTCTATTACTTTTGATGAATAGTCCTTAGCATAAATTTTATTTCATTTTACTACTACTATTAAGATTTGGTGGCTGTACAACAATTTTTTTCTTCCAGTTTTTTTTCTCAATACTTACGTGGTCACAATTACATTGTATTCTTCATATCTGCTATGAATGTTGTATCTAATCTGTTTACGTTCTTCTTGAGAACCTAGAATTTAAAGATGAAACATACAAATTGATTGTATTTATTGTACTTAAAAGAAGCTTCCAAAGTTAAGAGAAAAATGACATACTCTTACCATAGTAACAGAGCACCTTTAGAGTGGGGCACCATAAATTAACTTCTCTTAACCAGTTATCTAGGAGACAGAAGAGAGATTACCTGCATATGCTACAACAGGATATATGTGTGCAACAAAATGAACACTGAGGTCTAACAAGATCTGCCAGGAAATTCTTCTTTTATAAAGTAACAAGATGATTTTGAAAAATCACACTCTTCACAATTTTATCCCTGATGATTAAAATGACGAAGATTTTCAGGTGGCATCAAAATAAAGAGCAGAAGCCCAATCTTGATATTTATAGATGATTATTAATTTCTAATTTTGAGGTTTCTTTTTTTTGGGGGGGAAGGGGTTACGTTCATACATACATTCTCTGACTCCAGTCTACAATCAATTGAAAAAGAATGAAACAGTAATTTGAATTGGGATGAATTGCATATTTCTCACTTAACAAATGTTTAATTGTAAGTTTAAATCACTTAGCTTCCCTTAAATTAGTTACTCATGAAAACAACCTTTAAAAGTATTACAAAAACAAATAATTTTTTCAAATGGTACTTAATCTCTAATAATTTGTAAGCTGAATAACTAACTTATACTGGAGTTCCTTTCTTTAAAAAGACTTCCAGTATAATAACACACATATGCAAAGGGAGAAAAGTTATAAGGAAACCACAGAAATGAACATTCACCTCCACAAACCAAGAAATCTCACACACACAACACAGACTTTTTCTTCCCTTCATACATATAAAACACCATTTAGTCAAGTAAAATTGTCCACAGTATTACAAACCTATAGTTGATGCTGGAACAACGATCAAATGAGGACCTTTATTACCCTCTTGATAGAGGTACGCCAGAAACGCAATGGCTTGAATAGTTTTTCCCAGACCCTAAAAAGAAAATGTTTAAAAGAAAACATATTAAATGTAAAAACAAACAAAAGACCCAAATAAATACTGGGATAATGAAAGAAAAAAGAATATTTCTGGTTTTATTTATGATTCACCACAATGCAACTCTACTATATTCTTAGTTCTCAATGGCCATAAAACAGATCATAATCGCCAAGTGATACTACAACTTAAAGAGTGCGATGTACTTTAACTGCTAGCTAATATGTGATACACACTAATATGAAAGACCTCTGCTTGCATATAAAGGATATAATTTTGGTAACTGTTAATATGAAGCAACCATTTCATACATACTGGATGGATGGAAAACGGCGCTCCATGACTAACTGGAGTTGAATATATACCCATCCTATTACTCACCAATTTTACTCCTAAGAATATATTCAGGAGATATGACAGCATATGTCCATGAAAAATCTTGGGTAAGAATACTGATGCAGTTTTATTATAATAACCCACACTAGAAATAATCTAAACTGCCATCAATAATCTAAACTGCCAGGACAGTGGATAAAAAGCAACCACCATCACCAAACCACTGATACATGTAAGAGCATGGATTAATCTTAGTAATTTTATTACGGAGCAAATGAACCAGAAACTGTTTAAATAGTATATATTGTATGGATCTATTCATATAAAGTACAGAAATCAGAAAAAAAAATTATTGTACTGTGATAGATGTCAGAAGAGTGGAGGTGTTTATGACTAAAAAGGAGCATAAGGCAACTTTCTGGGATGATGGAAATGTTGATCAAGAGGCGTCACATGGGTGTACATACATGTAAAAAGTCACTAAGCTGAAAATTTGTATGCGCATCAATAAAGTATTATATTAAAAAAAGGCTGCTGCAGCTGCGGCTAAGTCGCTTCAGTCGTGTCTGACTCTGTGCGACCCCACAGACGGCAGCCCACCAGGCTCCCCTGTCCCTGGGATTCTCCAGACAAGAACACTGGAGTGGGTTGCCATTTCCTTCTCCAATGCATGAAAGTGAAAAGTGAAAGCGAAATTGCTCAGTCGTGTCCAACTCTTCGCAACCCCATGGACTGTAGCCTAACAGGCTCCTCCGTCCATGGGTTTTCCAGGCAAGAGTACTGGAGTGGGGGGCCACTGCCTTCTCCAGAAAAAGGCTAGAGAGGAAGTATAGCTCCTCAGGAGAGCTAAACATTGCCAACTGTTAGGAACTGAATTGCTCCCAAACCCCAAATTTACATGTTGAAGTCCTAACTCCCAATGTTAAGATTTTTTGGAGATAAAGCCTTTAAAGAGATAAGTTAAATGTAGTCATAAGGGTAAGGGCCCAACCCCTATCTTTAAGAAGAGACTGAATGTGCCCAAAGGAAAAGCCATGTGAGGACACAGCAACGTGTCTATCTACAAACCAGACAGTAGCCTCTGGTGAAACCAAACCTACCAACACTTTCATTTTAGACTTCCAGTCTCCAGAACTATGAGATATTTCTGTTGTTTAAGTCTCCCTGTCTTTAATACTTTGTTGGGGAAGCCCCAGCAGACACTACCTTATCATAAATATTGTACTTTTAGGATACAAAAACAGTTCCACATAATATATCTCATTTGACACCAAATATAATCTTATGATATAGGAATAACCTATGTTTTATTAACTTTAACCTTGAGAGATTAGGTCATTTGGTAAAGGTTAGACAACCCATGAAAGACAAATGTGGACCCAGAACCTAGATTTGATTTCCAAGTCCAGTTTCCACAATTGTACTATTCTATATTCTATATATAACTTCCAATTATTTTCAAATCCCGCATATATGATTCACTTTTCCAAATCACTTCTCTGTTTTAACAAAAGTATGAGATATATGTGGGAACGGTCTTAAAATACTGAAGATTATTTTACTAGAAGCGAAATAGAGGACAAGGATTATTATCTTAGTTAATTTTTATTTTGTAACTCTACACAGTGTAAAAGAGCTGACTCACTGGAAAAGACCCTGATGCTAGGAAAGAAAGGACAGGAGGAGAAGAGAGTGACAGAGGATCAGATGGTTGGATGTCATCCTTGATTCAACAGACATGCGCAAACTCCAGGAAATAGTGAAGGACAGGGAAACCTGCGTGCTGCAATCCATGCTGTCACAAACAGTCGGACATGACTTAAGAGACTGAACACCACCCCCACCACAATTTAACACAATAGATATTCAATAAACATTTTCTCCACTGAACATGATTCATTTTTAATAAACACTTTTTAAAAAGTATAAAAAAATAAAAAAATAGAAAGTATAGCTGGAGGAAATCTAGATCAATTTTAAAGGCAGCTATAGAAAAGCACATGCACTAAAATATCTTTTAGTATAATATATATGTATATGTGTATATATGTATGATGCATTCAAACACATCTGCAGAATAATCTGGAAAGATATAGCAAAATAAATACTTATTTTAAGGTGCTAGGATTATGTGTGATATTGTTTATTTCTATGTATTTTTATGTAACACCTAATTTTAAAAACATATTTATTAATTTGATAAGAAAGACAAAAAACCTATTTTCATTTCTGAGAGGAAGTAAGGAGGCTAAAACTCACATAAGCAATAGAAAACTGAGAAGGGTAAGAGGGCTTATACTTTGCTAACAGCAGTAAACTAACAGGGTTGAGGGAAATTTTCATTTTTTTAAATGACAGCAAGGATGCCTATTAATAACATATCCTAGAAATAGAGTACTACTTACCATTTCGTCTGCCAAAATGCCATTAAGTCCATGTTTATGTACCAATGCCAGCCAATTCAAACCAACCTTCTGATAGGGCTTGAGTGACAAACTGGTAAAAAGAGAGTTACCAAATGTTACAGATTTATAATTCTATCAACTTTCTCTACTAGTTTTCTGAGACGCAGTTTAGGTTTACAATGCACACAAAAAGGAAAGTATCTAGGTGTGATCTTACCTTTTAACTTATTGTTATTAATAAAAGCTATTTTCACTTAAGAAAATGAACCCAAAACATAATATGTTTTAAAAAGTATCTCAAATTTTATTCTGTATTTATTTATTTATTTATCCTGGCAATAAGAATTACAAAAGGTATTGCTGTATTCAGTTAAAATGTAATGCTACGAAATTAATTACATAAACAATTAGACTATTAACTATGGTAACATATTACAAAGTTAACATTTATATTAGAAAAATGTATTCATATGAATGAGTATTAGCCCACTAAGGAACTTAAAGTATCAGAACAAAAACATAAGCATAATTTGCTACTTTGCCAGGCTGATTTAATAAACATTTTCTGAATGAATGCCAATCACCTTTAATGTCACTGGTATATATAATTATAGAGCATGTATACATTGTGTATTTATGTTTGAACTACGTATAAATGTAAACTTGCTGGGGGGGGGGTCAATTAAATACCAATGAATAGAAAACAGCAGGCAAGTGTCAAAATGTTATTTAATTTGTGAACACATAACAGATTAATCCCTGGGATTAACTTTCTTGAAAGGTAACATGGAAGGGTTACAGTGGATGAAAACAACAGTTTTTTCTGAAAGTTCAAGTTGTTAAAAACTAGTATTTACTGAACATCTACTATATACACAGATAGACAAAAATATCACTTTCAGGTTTCACCTCATTCAATCTTTTAGTATTCCATAGAGGTAGGCTATTATTTTAACAGATGAAAAAACCTGAGGCTCAGCAATTTGCCTGAGGCTGCATAACTACAAAGCAAAATCTTATGGCTAAAATTTTAACTCAGAAAGTCTCTCTCATTCAAAAGCATATTCTTACACTCTTGAGGGCAGCTTAAACCCCGCATTAACATGAAAACTTAAGACAAGGCCATGCTCCTCATTCTACAGCTTTTATTCTGTCTCTTTAATTTCTGTTACACATATCCTATCTGCACACAGGGAATGTGTCTTGACTCAGCAATGGGTATGATAAATGGTTAATGGGTCAAATTCTGAAATTGAGACACTTTAACTAGAACTGGGGTCAAAGAGGTAAGGTAGAAAGGTATCCATGTTAAATCAGAACCTATTCTTCAACTGTGGGGTGTGCAATCTGCAAAACATTTCTCATCTGAAAAAATTAAAAGTAGAGGTAGAAAAAAGTCAGCAGTGTTGCTGAAGTCTTTACAGTTAATATCTTAAAATGTCTTTGGTCTTCTTGGCCAATACTATTTCTATGCCACTACAAAAGTAGTAATAAGGAGAATATACTATTGAAGGTATTTCAATTTTTCAGATCCAAATAAATTCTACTATACTGGTAGTCAGAATAAATGCTAATACTGGATTCGAGACACTCTACTATGGGGTTTACATGCATTATTACTTTATTTAACCGACATTATAAAGTAGGTACTATTACTATAATCATCTCCATTTACAGATAAGAAATCCTCCCTGGGATTCAGAGAAGTTAAGTAACTTGCCTAAGGTCACAGTTATCCAAATCTGTGTCAACAGTGGTAGAGCTGGTACTCAATCCAGGTCTGATCCAGAGCTCTGCCTTCAATCACTGAACAGCAAACAGGAAAGTTTTCTCTCTCTGACCCATCTACTCTACAGTCAGGACTTGCTATTTTTAAACTGAACTTTCTATTATGTTTCTGAGTCATTCCTAACATCGTAGTCATCCCCCACAGATCAGGGTTCACATTCCATGAAAATGATGAAAAACTCGATAAGGTAGGCACTTTACATCAGTTATAAACACATGCCAAGAGCCAATAAGCTCTCTCAATGTAAACTGACCACAAATACCCAATAAATATTTTTAACAAACAAAAATGACTGAATTTATGCATCACTAACACATGCTGAGAAAGGAGTCTATTAAAATATCCTTAACTATACATAAAATTTTAAAAAGTGATGAGATTTTGAGAACCATCTACTACACTGAATTTTCCATTCAAATACAATTATTTCATCCACATTCATAAAGCAGCTATAGTAGCTGTTCTGATCATGACATTAAATACCTTTACTGAGTACATGTATGTGTGTATTTTCTCTTCTGCTCGATTTATCTAAATTACAAGTAACTAAATTATCTAAATTACAAGTAACTGTCTGTTGCAGCACTGCTGCCCATAACACAAATCTTTTCAGAAAGCAGAAGGATCACTGAAAATGAAGTTTTGGCAAACACTTTTCCAATTCACTTGTTAAGACAAGTTTTAAAACAGGGCAGCTATAGTCTTTCTCTGTCAATCACTAATATTTAGTTGCTACTACAATTACACTTTCCATTAATCTTAACATTTCAAAGTTTTCTAAAAACTTTTGACTGCGTATAAACCCCAACCACAAGTTTACAGGTTAAGAATATAAACTGCTCAGGGTTATCTGAATTGTAAGAAGTATAGCCAGGGCCTTGTGAGGTGGGTAAGTGATCTCTTCTCAGTAAGGGACCATAACTATCCAGCATTGCAGGTTTTCTTACCTCCCAATGATGAAAAAAGTGATTTTAAGATTTTCTGACATCATGAAAGAAAATGAGGCAGCATGTTTAAAGTTACTTGTTTTGTTAGGGGGGAAAATCCTTTCTGATATAAGTTACTTTGATTTCTTTTCAGAGGGAAATTAAATTGGGTTTAAATTTCCTGTCAGAGAAAAAAATAGCTTCAAATTTATTTTGAAAGGTGAGAAAGGCCTGAAATAGAAAACTGGAGTATATACAATGTGCTAAATTTAAGTGTAAAATGCAGAAGTAGAGGGCTAAACTTTTTGCAGTAGCTCATATGAAACAGATCAGGGACTCTAATTGATCAAAAATTTATATCCTTTAAGTATAACATGAATGCTGAAAATACTACCACAATAATAGTTTGTACTAATAGCAGTATCCAAACTACTAAAATATTTATATCATAGGACTCTGAGTTAGTTGGATTATGTGTGCAGTACAGATTTGCATTTGACGTCACTGTCAAATGGTTTCACAGCAACTGTTTAGGAAGAGGATATAGAATCACCCTGTCAAGTTGAGGATGAACAAGATCAGAAGAACCTTAGTAGATTTAGCCCAGAAAAAGACAGGACACACATGATTAAATATTATTTTACACTGAATATCTTTGCAGATATCTTTTCAGTTAGAACAATATAAAGCTGACAAAATGCTGATTATGCTAAAGCTTGAGAGACGGCTATATTTATGATAGGAATAAAACAGGAATAATGCTGAGGTTTTTTTTTAACTTTTCCCTCACTGCATTATTATATTTTAACTTAAGGCAACTTTAACTTTGATGTTTTAAAATAAAGATTATGAATGTTAATGGTTTTGAGATACATATGAGAATTTTTTCTCTTGCCAGGACTTTAACAGTGTATTACATAGATAAAAATATGTCACAGTTACACTATGTCTGTATTTTATCTCTAAAAGGTTATTTTTCTGTTATAATTCTGATAAATTCACAATAGGAAAATAGTTAACATAATTTTGCTTCAAAATAAACTTTACTACAAAGAATTCATTCTGTTAAGCAAAAGCACAACAGGTTATTCATCAGGATTGCTTAATATTTTCTTCTGTGCTAATAAATCCTTTCCTAAGGCAAGGAAAGTGCTTTAAATGTTTCTATACTAAGCAGCCACTATGCTTGGCCGGTATACCAAGTAAAAATCTGCAAGTTGCTTGTGCAACTTACAATGGTTAAAACAAAAGCCAAGACAACAAATTTCACCCCCTAAAAGTGTATCTAAATAAACTCTAGACTATCTGTACAGGTTTTCAGAAGTTGTACTTTGGACTATATACAATAAGCACCTAAAAAAATTAACTATTTTTCTCATCTGTTCAATATTTCATAAAAAAATCTTTAGTCTAATGGAAAGGATAGCTTTAATAACTGGTCATACTATTTACAAGTGACAGGTCTTTGTGGATGTGGGTTTAAGAGAGAAATTTTTTAAGTTGATGCAATAAAGCACTTGATTTTTTAAAATCCAAATTATGATAAAGTAGACTCAACTGGGTAAGCCTTGTAGAGTGAAGAACTCCCCATATCCAATGCTGTAGAACAAGAAGGAGCAGCTCCAACTACACTTTTAGGAGATGAATTTGCTGACATGGTCATAGTTCTTTCTATGCAACAGAGAAAAGAGCTTCTTTGTGGGAACTGCATCACGTTTCCCTACACCATCCCATAGCACCCTAGAAGGGCACAGAAAAGATTGTAGCTTACTATTAAAGGCCAGTAACCATATCTTGATTTTTTTTTTCATATCTTGATTTTTAATTAACCAATGATCAGCAAATATGCTTTGATCACTAAATTAGTAAAATATCAGAAGCATACAAAATCACCAATGAAGGTAATTAATTTTAATGAGGCTCTGGTGCTAATCTTATTATATACCTACCAGAAATATTCCAAAAAGAAATAATTCATTTAAAAAATTACATAACACTGCAGAGTATGGATATATCATAAATAATTCTAACTAGGCTCTGATCTTAGAAACCTCAATTGTTTTCATGTTTCTGCCTCTGTATGGATTATCACAGTAAACAATTTTATACCTCTTTTAAAATGGAAGCATTCTGAATAGTTCTAAGTTTCCAGACAACTTAAAAATAAACTTTTAAAAGAAGTTCAAAACAAACCATCCGCCCACCATATCCCAACATCATGCAAAGTAGGGATGTTCACAATCACAAAAGGCTGTGTTAGTATGTTCTGGTTGTTGGACAATTTTTTTTAGTGAAAATACTTTAATGCTTATTTTTTTGCAAGAATTCTGACAAGGTATTTTACTGACAGCAGCAGGTGGGGGAATATATTTCTTGTATTTTTTCTTTTTATATCATTTTTCCTTACATAACCTATTTAATAAAAGTATCCTTTTTTGTGTTTTTACCTCAAAAATATTTAAAAATTTGGGCTTTTGAAAGCATTTAAAACATTTAATCACATACATAAGTATATTTTAATCATTTCATTCATGATTAAAAAGAAATTGAACTAAGACAAATTTTTACACTGAAACAATTGAGCAGATGACTCTTCGAAGCCCTAAATTAAGTAAAGAGGTAGCTAAAACCACCTTTTCAGGTTCTATGACTATAAGAAATTATCTGTCATCACAAGGAAAACATAGGTTATGTAAGACCATAATATTTTCTCCCTCTAACTTACAATGTGATAATGGAGGAAAATATCCTGACTGAGGAGAAGGGGAGTGGAGATCAATGGAAAAGAATTCACACACCACTTATACACCATTTTAGGAAACCCTGGTTTTTCCTTTTAACATTAGTTTTCCTATCATTTCCATGGTTAAGTTTCCTAGGCACAATGTAGAAATAATTTTAAAAATGTACATAACTGAAATAAAACAATAAATAGGTGCATACAAGTGTTACCTTTGGTTTAGAATGGAGGGTTGCTCTGTGTTCCATCCACCTCCATTTCCAGTGAGCATGGTAACTTGTTTTGTCAGTTTATTTGAAATGTCTTCACATTTGTTCATAAGCCTTATAACTACATCCCTTTCTTGAATCAGTGTTTTACAGTGCCATATCAAATCTTCTGATAAGCCATTTGTTTTGGACATCTTTGTGAACTATGGCATGAAAAGAAAAATAATTTAACAGTTCAGATCTAGAGTCAAACGGAGAGTCAATCTCAATTTCTTTCTTTGTGATGAAAAAGTTTCTTAAACTTTTATTAATGACCCTCCTAAACCAAGTGCAAAGACAACCAGCATTTTCATTTCTCATATTTCTCTTTGATAAATCTGCCATCTTAAACTCATCATGTTGAAATAAAATACATCTTTCTCTACAAAATACACAATCCCAAGCTTGTTACTTTGATTCTAGCGGCTGTTCTCTTATGGGAGAAACTCTAACGTAATTGTTAATGTCTCCTACCAGTCATTTTTTTGCCTTTAAAACTCGATTCATGTCTATTACCAAAGGTAACGATGACAAATGTAATAAATGCAGACCAGATCTCTTATTTTTGTTACATCCTATGAATATGACATACAGTCACATGACTATAAGATTAATTTTTCTGAAACATACTTTTCCCTATCTAGCATCAAAGTACAACCCCTCAAGCTTTCAAAACTTCAATTATTGATATTGTCCCTTGATATTTTACCCTAAACTGAGACTAATACTTGGAAAGATACTGCCCGAATCAAAAGTTAACTGTGATCAAATCAATAGCTTGATTAAACTTAAAAATAATATCAATTTTAAAACAAGACTTTGATAAATGGCTTTGTGTGAAAACTCAGTTTCTTTCAAAACATATTCATATTTATTTTTCTAAAGGAGATATTGACTACTTCACAATGTAGAAGTTTTAACACAATTAGAATTCTTCCACATAGCTTAAAAATAATATACCCTGAAAATCTGTTAAAAAAAAAAAAAATTTTTAGTGTAAAGGATTAGAAAAAACCCCAGTAGCTATTTGAAAGCTGTTTGTTGGACAAAAAGAAAAATAAACAAAATTCAGAACAGAATAAATCTAACTAAACTAAAACCATCTTATCAAGATAAAATACTAACACATATATATGGAATTTAGAAAGATGGTAACGATAACCCTATATGCAAAACAGAAAAAGAGACTCAGATGTATAGAACAGACTTGTGGACTCTGGGAGAAGGCAAGGGTGGGATGTTTCAAGAGAACAGCATTGAAACATGTATATTATCTAGGGTGAAACAGATCACCAGCCCAGGTTGGGTGCATGAGACAAGTGCTCGGGCCTGGTGCACTGGGAAGACCCAGAGGGATCGGGTGGAGAGGGAGGTGGGAGGGGGGACCGGGATGGGGAATACATGTAAATCCATGGCTAATTCATTTCAATGTATGACAAAAACCACTGCAATGATGTAAAGTAATTAGCCTCCAACTAATAAAAATAAATGGAAAAATTAAAAAAAAAGATAAAACCACACAATTTTGACTCATGACATCTTACTTGGCATAGTTTTTCAAGCTGTAACAAGAACCTCATTAACAACTCCAAATAATCCCTGTTATCACAATACTTCTAAGTTCACAGAGACGCTCAAGCAATAGAAATTTAGTAGAGGATATACTGAGAAAATTTCATTAAAAATACAGTTTATATTAACACATTTTTTATATCTAACTTAAAGTTGGTAAGAAATGAAACTTTTAATCTGTTCCAAAGCCGTATTATTACTTTACTGCAGGAATAAAAAACAAAACAAAGATTCAGCATGCCAAAAAACAGCATTGTGAAATACAAAGTTATTTGCACACTACTTTATATTTTCACAAGGATAACAAACATTCATAATCACAATGTAACCTTCCATTTGGTACTTTCAGGGAAACGATTTACACATAAAGAACAGGATATGTAGGAATCAGTGCCTTGAAGATTTTAAGGAGGTTCTATTAGAACTACAGTATTTTTTTAAAATGGAACCCCCCAAAACAATCTCATGTCTATTGTTGGGTATATGTTTGTGATATGTATGTGTGAGAGAGAACAAACAAGAATAGCCAGGAAAAAAAAACAAAAGGAACAGTGTGTGTTGTGTATGTGCCGGAGACTGCTAGGTAAGACTCATTAAATCCTCACAACTCCAAGATCAGTCCACCAGTTCCGGATGGATAAATCAAGGCTCAATTCTCAAGGTTACAAAGCAGGATAAAAGACTCCAAAGTCTATGCTCTTTTCACTAAAAACTAGTAACTCCCCAAACAAACAAAATAAACAAAACCGTGAAAGTTAAAAAGCAAAAACCCTTTTTTTCTGCAACCAACTGACATTTATTTTACATTTTATTTTTTAATAAAATAACAATTTTATTTATCACTGCCCTGGCTGGTGAACATACCTGGTATACAGACATATTCCCTGTTCTCATGTGGTTTACAGTCATTGGGAAAGACACACAACATACAATTTTAAGTGTTAACAACTGGCATTACAAGTTGTTCAGTCACTAAGTTGTATCTGACTCTCACAAGGAAAAAAAAAACAAAAGTTCATGGGTATGATATGATCCAGGAAGTCCTTTCAGAGTAATAAGGCCAGAAATCACAAAGAACAGTTTTGACTCAAAAAAGATCAATTTAATATGTCAGAACCTAGAGAAGTAAGAGATAAACATACATTAAACAAACAACTATCCAAACATTACCAATTTCTGATGAAAGAACACATCACCAACCATTTAATAGTACTGGTGGGAACATCTAATTCTAATTTTGTTACTTCTAATTCCACAGAAAATATAACCAGAAAAGCCCAGACTGAGAAGCTATAGAACAAATGATACAGTTTCTTCACCAAAGATTACAGGAAGGGTTGGGGCAGGAGGGAGGGAAAGAGGCAGAGGAAGGTGGTGGGAGATGGGGAATGGAGGAGAAGGGAGGACAGATGGAACGAGCTCCAAGTGGTAACTGAAACCGGTGATGAGTACACAAAGGTTTGCTACACTGTTCTAATGTTTATGTCTGATATTCTTGTAGGGGCAATGATGGGGTGTGCAAAATGCAAATCATTTCACAATGCTGTAACAGTCTGATTGAGACTTAGTGGACTTGACATTTTGGATATTTTTTAAGTCAAAGTTTCAAAACTTAACTCCCTGAGCTTCTCACACTCTTTATCCCTCTTTCCATACAAGACAAGCAACATTAGAAATGATCCAAATTATTGCTGTTAATTTAGAATTTAGATCTAAGTAGTGATACACTGTCAATGAACGTAAGACATCAGTTTCATTTCTCATCAGAAAGAGAAAAAAGTTTCACTGTTTGATAAATTTGCTAATATTAGCTTTAGTAATAAGTAATAGTAAACGCAAAACATCTCTCTCATGTAAATGAAGACTGTAGGGAGCAGTTCAGTTCTGGTAGAGTGGTTCCAAAAACCAAAACTTCTACTTTGTTGCTTCAGTATCCTCAGCATGTGGTTCCCAACATCACACCAACAGGAAGAAGAGATCCTTTAAGGACTTTTTTCAAAAATCACAGTATACTTCTGTTGTATCTCACTGGACAGGAATTTGTCAAGTTACCAAAGGGAGGCTGAAAAAAGTAGTCTTAAATATACTGGGGGTAATGTCACCAGTCATAAACCTGTTTTAAAGCATAGAGTGGGTTAAAAAGACAGAAAAATGATTTGATTCAAAAAAGTTTGACTCAATATGTCTAGAAATGACACTGATGGACAAGTAGAAAACTATAATGGTTTCTTAACATTTCACTAATAATATATTGTGGGTATCTGAAGCTAACTTTTTTCAAGAGACAGACAACTGAACAGGCATGCACTTTACAATCCTTAGACTGCTCCACTGGTCAGTACCATATTTACAGATGAAGAAATAGAGGAACAGAGAGAGAATTTGCTTAAGGTCGTGTAAGCTGCTAGAAAATGTCAGAACTGGGATTTAAAACAAGGCCATTTAGCTCTCAGAGAAGGCAATGGCACCCCACTCCAGTACTCTTGCCTGGAAAATCCCATGGACGGAGGAGCCTGGTAGGCTGCAGTCCATGGGGTCGCGAAGAGTCAGACACGACTGAGCGACTTCACTTTCCCTTTTCCCTTTCATGCATTGGAGAAGGCAATGGCAACCCACTCCAGTGTTCTTGCCTGGAGAATCCCAGGGACAGGGGAGCCTGGTGGGCTGCCGTCTATGGGGTCGCACAGAGTCGGACACGACTGAAGTGACTTAGCAGCAGCAGCATTTAGCTCTCTATTATTCAATCACTTGCTAGTAGGTATTTATAAAACCAAGGGACTAAATAAGGAAGCATGAAACACAAAGACAGAAAAACAAGTTTCCTCAAGATGTCAGGGAAATCAGACCCCAATGGCACAACTGATCATTTGACCTATAAACAAGCACTCCAAACCGGAGCACGTCTTAAGACTCCAGAAGACTTTTTCAAGGAGACAAAACTGATAAAATATCTGAAGTGTTTAATAACTGAGGGGAAATTTAGACAACTAGGGAAGAGTCTAGAATTGAAGTAACAAGTATAAATACAAAACTAAGAAAAGAGAAAAATCAAGACAGCTAATAACTAAGGAAAACAAAATATTGAGCAAGGGGGGAAAAAAGCAATCATGCTTATATTACAAGGTTCAGTTATGAAAGGCATTTGCATAGTCTAATGAAGTAGATACTAAAAAAAAGATTTTCAAAATTATCACATGCTTAACATATTGCTAGGCCTGGGAAATGGGCATGTGAGACAGACAGTGAGAAGAGAGCTAATACTACCACAACGCTATAATGTCTTGTGTCATGTCAACAAGTAAGGCCTGAAAATGAAAAATTTGGAAAAGCATTATGCTTATGTTACCTAGAGATATAAAAGTGATAAGAATCAGGCAAGATGTGGAAGCAATTATTTGCAGTATAAGAAATGGGCTAGGAAGTGGATGGATATGGATTTTCAGGGAGAACAAGTCTGTAGAATTGTTTAACCTGTTTATCTAAATATATGCATAAATAATAAACATTAAAAAAATCCAACATTTAATTTCAATTTCAAAATATTTTCATCAAGTGTGTGTGGAGGCAGGGGAGATGGGCATCTCCCCTTAAGAAAAGATGTAAGAAAACTACTGTTATGTCACTGCTCTGAAGACAAAAAGCACTTAACAATCCTGTAAGTTACTTAGCTTCACTAAAACAAGATTTAAGAAATACAAAGTACTCTGTAAAAGCAGGATCTACTAAGAAATCTAAAGTTATTGATTAGCATAAAAATGACCCTAATTACATAATGTGAAATATACATACAAACGTACACATAAACAGATGGATACTCAATAAATCTTAAGTGGTGACTATATTTGATAGAATTTTGGCTAAACTTGACTTTCTTTTTTCTTCTTGCATGTACTGTTTCAATTTTAGACAAAAATTCTTCAAAAAAAAAAAAAGGATAAAGCTATTTCTTTCAGAGGGAAAGAAAAAGTAATTGATACTTAACTGGATAACTTCAAGAAAAAAGAACATCAACACAGCCCTGATTACCATCTTTTTGATTAAAAAGTATTCCTTTAAGGCCTTTAATGTTTTTAAAATAGTCACAAACGGAAGTACCTATCTCCTGCCACCACGTGTCGCTCTTACAGCACGTGTAGCTGAATTTCTCTAGGAAGGGGAAAATTGTTTCAAAGCAGATTTAATTCCCCACCTGCATAAAAAGTGGGACAGCAGCTTACAAAGTACTCAAATGCATATGTAGTTTCAAAATAAATATTTATCAAACTTATAGAAATGAAAACAAAGCCTGAATAGAGCAATGTTACTCATTTTACTGAAGCCACGCTGTTAGTAAGTAGTGCACATTACAATGCACCGAGTGACAAACCCACAGACGTTTTACAGTGACCACCAGGGAACAAAGCCAAAGAAAACTTGTAATATCAGCTACTAGAGGGTGGGGGCAGCACGAGGAGGAGCTTAGCGCTTCCACATGGGGTAAACCTTGTTTGCTTGGTTAACAGGCAAAGAAAACTGCATTTATACTGATCTAAATGTTATGGAAGTAAATGCATACATGAAAACGTTTTAGGTTGAGCTATTTACATAGAGTTAGCTACTCATGAATTTTCAATTCATCAGTATACACTACCGTTCTGATTAAAGTATAAATGTGCAACATGTAAGATTATCATAGACATAATAGTATCTCCACCTTACTTTGCACAAAGCTAAATAAAAATTCAGTAAGCGGTGGATGAACTGGTGCCATCAAATGTGTGAAATCTGGCAATAAAAACCCCAAATTTACCACATTAACAGTATATGCTTTTAAACTAATAACATTTTGGCTGGTTATATTCCCAAAGTCTACATGATTTAACGACGTGGCTTCTCACCATAAGCACATACTCTACTGCTATTAAGCAGAAAAATAAGAGTAATGGAAAAACTATGAGGATAATTTGACAATCTTTAGATTTTGATTTTTAAAAAGGATATAAAGCTGCAAACCTAAATACCCTCACATAATGCACTTATTTTGTTAAAAAAAACATAATTTTCCTCATGTAAAATAAGGTGACTAGAATATCTCAGAGTATTTTTTAAAAGTGTACTTCTCTGACAATAAAGTCATATCATATTGTTCAACTTTACAACTTTTGTTTTAAAAGACACTAAGATAATTTTCACACTCAAATTAATTTTATAATAAAATAAGACAATGAAATACTAATGATTACATTTAACCCATAAACGTTATGGAGGCTGTCATCTTGGCAAAAATCATAATTAAAATATATGTGTATACTCGATTTATTGGCTCAGTTTGCACTGTAATGAAATATCTAATGAGTTTTTAAAGTTCTGCCAAATTTTCCAATCCTTAAGACTAAAATAAGCTTCAACAATAATGTCTAGTTTACTAGACATTTGTATACTGCTCTTAATATACATAATGCCTTGTAATTTTCACTTAAGTATGACTGAGGGGCATAATTAAAATTTCAACTAATACTCATAGGAATTTATAAAAATAGTAGTTATGAAAACAAAGGTAAATGCTATTTCTTTTGTTTCTTTTTGAAGTAGCTCACAGGTGTGTTAGCAAGCCTCTCTGATTAATAGGGAAGGAGTAAACTATAACATATGCATTTTCTTTTTTTTACCAAAATGTACATAATATTGACTTTCCTTTAATAACTTTAAGACATTAAATTGCTCTTTAAACTAGTCTCATTCAAAATTCTAAACTAACTGAAAGGAGAAGCTTAAAGTCCTAAACAAATTAAAACACAAAGCTCATACACACTGACTTGCTAATATTAACTGTTCATTTCCCAAAAGTTACATTTACTAACTTTTACTAACATTTACTAACTTTTCCCAAAAGTTACATTTACTAACTTTTTTTTAACTGAAGCACTGTATATGCTAAACTCAAGTGGCCAAGTTTGCTTTTTAACTGCTATATAAAATAATCAACATAAGATGAATGGCTAGTGAAAACAGTCTCTGTATTCAGCTCTAAGAAAGGGGGCAAGATGCTTTAGGAGGTTTAAGTAGATAATCTCTAAATTCATGTCAAGACTAATTTAAACTATGCCAATTAATTAGTAGGGGAAATATGCTTTCTACATGCTAAGTTGCTGAATATTTTAAAAGCATCTGGGACATATCACTCTGGTATAATTTACTTTTACTGTAAGATATGTGGGCAAGTGGTTACAGTGACTAAACATACTGGCACAGATAATTGCATTCCTTATTAAATAAATCAGAATCCCAACAAGCCTGAGCAACCCAACTCTGCAACAACATAGGAGACCATTCAAGATTAAAAGAAAGAAGAAAAGGAAGAAAAGAAGAACAAGAAAGCCCTTCAGCAAATACTTTAACAAATAAATCACTTAGGCAAAGCCAAACAAGTTTGAAAGGGCCTGCTTTGACAGATGTTCTCTGTAAAAGCAAAAGCTTTAGGCAAAATGAATCTCTTTATTTATTTATTTTCAAAGTCACAGAATATTAGTAATGTTGTTTCTTTATTTTTCAAATATTTTAATTTCTCAAAAAATGCTATTTAATAGCCATTGTTCAGGGACCTTCCCCCACTGCCACTTCAAGATACTCATCAAGGGAACTTAGGTTCACACAGATTTGACCAAGTACAAAATTAATCACAAAGCAACTTAACTCCCTAAGCTAATAAAACTTAAAACTTTATAAAGCATCAAGAGTTACTTCATATTCTAGAGCTATTAAAAAATCATCCATATTGCTTTCACAGCAGGGCTTGTTTAAAATTCATGCTCGAAAAGCCCACATTTTCATAAAAGATAAAGCAAAATTTAAAAGACAAGAGTTCTTATTTCTCTCTGTATGAATAAGATTTGCTGACTGTTGACATTTATAAAACTCAAAATACAGGTATTTTAGATAAAACTTGTTTACAGGAAACGAAATCCCAGAGAATGATCATGCAAAGTGTACTTACCAATGCTTATGCCTTCCCTTCACCTAACGCTTGAATTCTAGGCTTCCACACACTTTTCTATCTTTCCACTTAAAAACGCTGCAGCCTGCTACACTCCATAAAATGGCCGCGTTGTTTAACCAAGAAAAGCATGTTAGAGATTGAGCTGTCACTTTTAAAAGAAAAAGAAAATAAACAACTGCTTCTTTTGTGGTGAAGCATAAAACACTTAGGCTGGCATTTTGAATCATGGAGCTCCCCTGGATGTTGCTATTGCTCTTCAAGTAGTTGTAAAATTTTGCCACATTCTTGCTTTCTGCATGGTGTCTCAGCAGTAACAGATCAGAACAAGCTAGCAAACAACTCCTTCCTTAATGGTAAGCTCTAATTTCTTCTTCTGCAGTTAAATGAACCAAGTTTCTGTGCAAAAAAATGAGTGACAGTATGCCCAGCCAATCAGCTTGGGGTTTTTCAGGAAAATCACCCCCTAATTCATTCAAAATAAGGTCATATGACACTATTTGAAATACTATTGGCTTAGAATGATAAGTAATGTTTGACTCTACACAGGATAAGGCCACCCCATCTATGCTTCCCTGGGCTGAAGACACCTTGACTATGAACGGTACAGTGAAAACACACACATACACACACACAGGGAAAAAAAATGTAGCCTTACCAGAGCTTCCCAACTATTAAAGGGCCGGAGTTCTGTTATCTTCTGAGCCTTTTTCTGAGAACACTGAGGAATCAAAGTAAGTTCACCAATTGAAGCATCTTGAAGGAAGTGAAGGATTTTACCTTTATAGCCATCCTCCATCACTTCTTCACCACTACTATAGTCCTCGTCTAGTGAACTACCGACATCAGAGCCTGAATCATATTCAGAGTCTTCAATAACTCTTTTAGGATTAAATACATTTTTTTTACGTTTCTTGTTAAAACCATTTTGTGGTTTCATGGAGCATTTCTGTTTCAGCTTTGTTTTAGCTGCATTTTTAGGATAATTTTGATTTCTTGAAGAAACCTCTTTTCCATTTGGAAACTCACTCGGTGAAGCATATTGCATATCTGAGTACAAAGAGAGACAAAAATAACTATATTAGAAAGATATAAATTAAATATAAAGATATAAGACTTAAAGATTTCATATAAGAAAAATATTTACAACGGTATTCATGTGTTTTTCAATGCAGAATTCAATCACAATTTATTGTTAAATCTTGATTTTCCTTAAAGAGAAATATTGAAGTGGAATTTGAAATTATACAATGAATTGAAATATAGTTTCAAAAACAGGTGATAACTTCTTTCTTAAAATGAATTAAATATAAATCCTCATTTTCTATCAAAGATCCTGAGAATATAAAAGGCAGCTGCATATACATAAGTCACCCATGATGGTATTTAGCAGTCCCATCCCCAGGCCAAAACTGATGGTGTTAGAAAAACAATGCTCATCCTAAATTAAAACTATCCATTTTATAATTAATTTTCCCATCACCCATCTCCACTATTCTAGGTTCATCTTTACTAAAAGTTATTTAAATATACTATTAAAAAGCACCACCACTTTATCACTGATTAATCCATTATATTCCATGGATTTCTAAGATGTCTGTGATTGAAGGTACATTTATTTTACATACTAGTAAGAAATATGAACAATTGATCTATAACCATTATTTTATTATCTAGAATGTTTTACCTACTCAAAGAGCTTTGAGACTTGCACATTTTCATACATTCATTTTTGTACATGTATTAAAAATTAAGAAAAATAAATTGAATTTCTTCACATTTCTTCACATTCATAATCCTTCTTCTCTGAATCTTATTTCGGACTCAGAACTGATGATATTGGTGGCTTTCTTTTCTCCACACAATACCATTCTCTGCATTAAGAGCACTTGTTGTACAGCATTACCTAAAATAATCCATTAATAAAAACAACAAAAAACCTACAGCCATTGTGTTGGGCTTTTAAAAAACTGGCTTTGCAATGAAGAGCTAGTCTACTTGATTCCTACTTAAGAATGTTACTAAACATGTGTGGTTCAACTTTGCCCCACTATTTCTCTACCCTTAAGTTACTAAAGTTAAAAATATTCCACTATGGGATCAGTGCCTTTCTTCCATGCCAGTGACACTCACCTTATAAGTTTCTGATACTGATGCTTTTGATATTCATGTAGTGTAGGTGAGAACATCTATCTTACAATGATTACAAGGAATATAGGGAACTGGTTACTAATATCTCTTGCAATCCCATTCTCTGGTTATTAACTAATAAGTTTACTATTTTCTTACATACTAAAATATAATATATTGGGAAGTATGAATTTTCTATAATAATATAGAACAGATAATTACCTTGGTCTTCTGCAAATACTTTTAAAGATTCTAAAGCCTCTGTGTACATCCATTCATGTTCCTTGAGTACTTCCCTTAATTCCTAGAAATAAGTCATTGATCTTTTTATTAAAAATCTAGAATTAACGACTTGTTGAAAAGAAAAGTTTTATACTTTAAAAAATAAATCACTTAAAAACTTAAAAGAATTCATATCTGATGATTTCACACTTGCTTTTATGTTGCTCTTTACAAATGCTTTCTGTATATATAATTTCACTTCCGTAAATATACAACAGTCTCTTCAAAGGGAAGGAAGCTTGACAGTTTTTGCATTTCTGCTCTTGCTATGGAGTACTCTGAATACCAGAATATCAAAACATGTTTGCTCAGTTAAACTTCAACATGCAGTTAAGCTTTTTCATAAATTGATAACTTCAAAATATAATTTGAACATATGTAAAGAACCAGTATAGCAACAAGACTTTCCTTTAGCTCATCAGAATTTAGCAGATGTGCATATACTTGAATAAATCAATACAGGTATAAATGTATTCCCAATGTGAAACAAATAATGTGCTTCCAAGTACAATATGATAAAACAGAGGCTCTTTTAGTAATGGCATGCTTGGCATGGGTCTTTACTGAATCTGAAAGTATTTTTATTATCTAGCAAATAAACCAAAGATTATGGAATATCAAGGCACTAAAATGCATTATTACACTTTAAAATTCTTTACGAAAAATCAAAGGTTGAGAATATGAAGAAAACTAAAAGAAGTGACTTGGGATTATAGATGACTTTGCATTTTATATATGAGTTGACAACTATTACTACAGTTATACTTGTTATGCTTACACGATGTTATCATTATAGCATTGATATTATAGTATCAAAGAGGCAAATAAACAAGGCAAATAAACAAGTTATACAAATATATTTTATAATATTGATAAAGAGTTAAATGAAATATAACTAAATATAATTAGAAAAATGCAAAAATCACTCTAAGCTTTTCACGTGGTTGACCTCAAAGACTATCTGTTTTGTAATACAAACAGCACACACTGATTAAATACCTATACATGAGTACTCACCTCTTTATCAAAATTGGGAAATTCTTTTTGCAATTTCAACACAATACTTTCCTGCTTTTCCCAGTTACTGCTAGATTCTGCAGATTCATTTGACTCTTCTCCCTAATGGGGACCAAAAAAAAAAAAAAGAGAACCAGTTTAAGAGATCAGGAAAAACAGTCTTAAGGCAATCACATTTGTACTTTGACTTGATTTGAAAGCTTTCACATTCAGTCAAGAAGAATTCAAAAATGCTTCTTTCTGTTCATGTGCAAGTTGACAAATTTACATCTTAAGAATAAAAATATTACTGGTTTAAGACCACTCAAAGACCCTGAATTTTTCAGGCAAGAATACTGAGCAGGTTGTCAAGTCCTACTCCAGGGGATCTTCCCAACCCAGGGACTGAACCCATGTCTCTTGCATCTCCCAAAATTGGCAGGTGGATTTGTTACCACTCTGCTACCTGGGAAGCCCACCACCCTCAAATTCTGGGGTCCACCACTTGCATGAATTATATGGGGGTCCAACCTGAAGCATGCTGCAAATTTTACTTTAAAAAAACAAAAGATAAATGGCTGGACATTGCTGCCTCTGAGAAAGAGGTACAACACTTTAGTCGGCCTCTTGGGATGCTGGAGGCAAGGTACACTTCAGTTCAGTGTATGCTGCTCTGATCTGTTTATGAAGAATCCATAAGACTGTTAGGAATGGGGCCTAGATTAAGAGAAGGCTTTGGAGTAGGTCCAGGATGCAATGCAAGTGCTTTGCCACTTGGGTTTTGTGACCAGCGAGTAGACGCAGTGCTTCTCAAAGAATCTGTGGCTGATGAGGATGCTGTATAAAGTCTCTGGCAATCCCCAACAGGAAAATCACGGCAGAGACCCATGTGGCTTCAAAGAAAGGTCATGTCCTCTTCTGCTGACAACTACAGTCTGTTCCACTACAATATGACACTTCTATTTCCAAAAATTATTGCACCATGCAAAATCATGAAAATAAAAAGCCACTGGGTTGAGAAAAATTGTGTTAGAGGTATCACGTTCAAGAACTTCATTAGTGACCCACTGAAAAAAAGAAGGAAAACTTAAAAGAAGGATAGTGCAATTTTACACATTAAATGATTAAGAAATGCATAAATAATCCCAATAAATATGAACTCAAGTCTGTTTGGAATGTTAGCATTGGAAGGGCTATAGCTTATGAGTTACTATGAAACAGTAGATGAAGAGTTATTTGAAAATGAACAGCAATGGAAAGACATGCCTCACTGTCCTTGTGTCATTTCTACTATATGGCTGAAAATATAAATATTAAACAAATAAAAAAATAAGCAAATAAATGAAATCAATAAATTTCAGCTACTTTGCTAGCCTCCTGTTCTCATATTAAAAGTGCCTGGAAGGTTGAAGATTCAACTGCATGCCATGCACAAGTCTCCTACTGTGTTTAGCATTAAAACCAAATTTGTATCTTCACATCAGTACAATTGTTTTCAATAACGTTTAAAACACCGGTTAACACTGCTAATCTGTCATGGTACAGCTTTTCGATTTTCACTGCTGCTGTCCTCAACATCATCTACATCCACATGGTATCAGCAGGAAGTCTTTATGGTGAGATAAGCAGGGTGGGACCCTAGCTCTTCAATATCCTCATTTTCTATCTCCTCAAATCCAATCTGTTTTCCTAAATCAACAACTTGCTGTGAATTTAAAACATTTCTCTGAAGGTTCAAGTTCTTCAAAATCACAAGTCACTGTGAAGAAAAATTTTCCACAATACATAATGCAAACACTCTTCTATCATCAGTCGAGGCTGCTAAAAATGGTGGCAATGACTACTCCAAAGCTAAGTTTCTCAAAATTCTAAAACCATATTTGTATCCTCACCTTCAATTACAATAATTAGTATCATAAATGCTGACTTTAAATAGCAAGTCATAAATGCTGCTAACACATTTTTACTAAAACACTGTATCAGAGAGTGGTTTTTGGAGGCAAAAGAGAAAACACTGGGGTTGGGTTCAGCTTCTATAGAGGGACAGGCTTGAGGATTTACAAAAATTTTAAAAGCTAAGTGTTTTCATTTGGGTCCTGTTTTTGCAATAATTCTCTATAACAAAGAAGAATTAAGTAACTATATCAATGCAGATTTGGCCGGTCCATCCATTTTTGCTACAGTTATAGTGAACTCCAAGACTGACTTGAACAATTCTCTTAAAAGATTCAGTTTGTTAAGTGATAAACTACCACTGGGCTTCCCTGGTGGCTCAGTGGTAAAGAATCTGCTTGTCAAAGCAAGAGACTTGGGTTAGATCCCTCGGTTGGGATGATTTCCTGGAGAAGGAAATGGCAACCCAGTCCACTATTCTTGCCTGGGAAATCTTATGGACAGAGGAGCCTGGTGGGCTCCAGTCCATAGGGTTGCAGAAGAGTTGACACAAACAACTGGCAACTAAACATCAATAACAAAACTAGCACTGGTTTCAGCTTCAAATCTCTACCTGGAGTTGGTGCTGAATATCACAATACTGGTACTTTTCAAAGCTTTAAATTCTAGAGTACATTTCCTGACTCTCAGATTTGAGTCCTTTGATGCATGTGTTCATTAACAGATATCCATTTCATCAAAATTAAGAATTCAATTCAATATACAAGCTGCCGTGTCAGTTTATTGCTGCACCACTGCTGTAAACTTCTGTAGTTTCCTCATCTGCACTCATCACTTGGTGTGACAGCTGACGGCCTCAGAATTTGTGACATCACTTAAAAATACTAAAGCAACCACTACTGACACTAAGAGAAGGCAGGATATGGTAATTTCCCATTTAAGATCATTATTATGCACATATAAAGGTACATATGAAAATGGCTGTTTCGCATTTCTTCATGCTTTGGTCTTTAATCCAGATGTTGAATCATTTTCCCTTTCATTTCTTCATGCCTCTTTTTATTGACTTCACAGTAAGGCGGCCCAGCCACATACTTTCATTATTTGTGGCACTCTGATGGTCTACAATGTGGATTCCTTTATGCCTGTATCTACCACATGTTCTCATTTCTTTCCAAACATTTGTTTCAAGCCTCTCCTCACTCAATACTTTCCCTTTTTTTATACATTGCCTGGTATTTTTTTCTTTTTGGCCGTATCCCACAGCATGTAGCGTCCTAGTTTCCCGACCAGGGAAGGGACCTGTGTCCCCTGGCTTGGGCACTGTGGAGTCTTAACCACTGGACAACCAGGGAAGTCCCAGCTTGGTATTTTTGAACCACAATGTTTAAATATGTTTGAGATGTTGAAAGAGTGCTTCCTTCAAACAGAATACTTCACAAATGTGAAAGAAGAGCAAAACACACACTTGTGAGAAAACAAAGATGGTAAAATGAGGCAGTTAGTAGATGTCTAAGGTATGCTCATTTCCTTCCGAAGTGGCCCAGGTCAGCTGGGTGCAGTTTTCTTAGTCATCTACCTTGTGTTTCTCATCGACAAACTTGTATAGAAACAACACAAAATTCAGGTAATACACAAATTATTCTCTAATATATTCACTGCACTGGAACAAGCTACCATTTTTAAAACAGAATAAACTGATCTCTCTTTGTGAAATAGTTCTTGGCTTGAAAGGGGGGGGGTCCTGACAAGACCAGAATGGTTGACATGGAGTATCAAGTGACCATGAGACGTGAGCTGTTATGTGACCCGGGTGTGTGATCTGCCAAGACTGTATCTGAGCGTGAGCAGCAGCATCCCATCCTTAAGTGGAAAAGGTGATGGTGTATTTGAGACTGGACTTAAGCAGGTTCAGGAAGCACAAATAAGCTGCATATACAGGTGTCTCAGACTCCCATGTGACTGAATTCTGCTTTACTGTTGCCCCTCCATCAATAACATCTACTGCACTATGGGAAATTCTTCATGATCAGATAAAGTGGGAGAAAAATCTTAAACTTGTTTTACAAAGAGTTTACATAATTCTTAGTTAGAACCAGCTGAAAGTGAACAATATAACAAAATTCCACTTAAGACAGCAGTGCCGTACACAACTTTGGGTAGTAAAACTTACTGTCCATTTTATATAGACAGAGATGGCCAGAAGTACAGATAAATGATTTATCACAGACAGTAGCTCAGCAGAAGAACGAGAGTGGAAGATCAGTGACCAGAAGTCTGGGGAGGAGGTGCACTGTTGAACTTAGAGAAGTTTTTCTGAGAACAAAATATAAGGGTAAGGGCATCCCATATGAATGCTCAGCAAAGGATGTCTAATGTATAGGAGTTTTTAATCATCATGGGGACAAGATAATTCATTTTGTGAACCAAAATAAGATTGCAGCCACTTGGATGCATGCTCAATGTGTCTATACACAAGCGACCATGGCAACATAGACAGTCTGTGCATGCAGATCAGTAAGACTTTCTCACATCAAGATTTATCTGCCTATGGCTACTGGTGAGGACTTGATCTGCCAAGAGCAGAGGCCAACAATGAATTTCCATGACAGAGAGACCCATTCCTTGGGAGATTCAGTCAACTGTCTAGTGGCAAGTTGATGACATTTAATCCCTTTCATCATGAAAGGGACAGTTATAAGAAATTTACTGTGAGTATGGATTAGCCTTTCCTACCCACCTGGATTTGGCAACAGCAGTTATAGACTGAACTGTGTCCCTCCAAAGTCTTCTGTTGAATAATGCCCAGTACCTCAGAATATGACCTCATCTGAAGACTGGCTCTAAGTAATTATTACTGAGGTAATCAAGTTAAAATGAGGTCATTAGGGTGGGCCCTAATCCAATGAAGAAGAGGAAATCTGGAGATAGACAAGCACATAGGGAGCATGCACTGTAAGGATAAGGCAGAGTTCTACAGGTCAAGGAACATCAAAGACTGCCAGCAAACCACCAGAAGCTAGTCACAGAGGGATGGAACAGCCTTTAGAAGGAAGCAACCATTCGGATATCTTGATCTTGGACTTCTAGCTTCCAGAACTGTGAGACAATGTATTTCTGTTGTTTAAGCCACTCAGTTTGTGGTCCTTTGTTACAGTGCCCCTAGGAATCCAATGGCATCACATGCAGATATATAAAGAGCTTAATCACACTGTCACACAGCAATCAATGCTTTTGACCAGGGGAGCCAATTTCACTGAAAGAAAAGTACACCAAGGGATTCATTCCCAATGAAATTCACTGAACTTACCATGTATCTCAATGCCTAGACGCAGCAGGCTTACAGAGCAGTGGTATCACTTAATGAAATTAAGAATGTGAATTTGTTGATAACACCCTACAAGGCTAACGTGCTATTCAACAGACGTAAAAGCAAAGTGAATGCTTTGAATCAGCCATCAATAAATATGATACTATTTCTTCCATGGCCATTATACATAAGTTTATAAACTAAAATGTGGGCCTAATCTCTTATACTAGTGGTTATTCAAACCTAAAACTTCAGAAGTTTTACTTCCTACCAAGGAAAGAATACTTCTATGGAGGGACACAACAGCTGTCCCATTAAATAAGGGTGGAGACTAAATTAGGCAAAGAAAGGGGTTACTGTGTTAATTGGGGTGACTGACTTTGATCACCAAAAAGAAATTGTGCTGTCATGAATGCAGACACGGAGGAGTATGTCTAGATTCACTGGGAGGCCTCTTAGTAAATCTATTCCATAAAGTAAAAGTTAACAGAAAACTACAATAACCCAGTAAAAGTATAACTATTATTATATTTAGATAAGCAGTTAAACATCAAAGGAGTCATCTACAGGAATTATAAGTAGTTGTCACTGAGGAGTTTGAAATGGTGCTGGTGCTAATGACAGCTGTTTTATGTAAGCATTGTACAATCATATGTATATACATATACATTTACAAGATAAAATTTAAAGTATATTTTTCCCAAAAGTTACTTTACCACACCACTAGAATATTTTTAAAATCAGTTTTATGACTCAGAGATAAGCAATTAATACTGCTGTGAGAGACAAGACTGATTCACTGAGGTGTACTTTTAGTATATTCAGATTCAACACAGTCTGTGCGTAAGCAGCTAATTTTGATGCTGCAATTCAAATGTAACTCACATGATCCAGTCTCTTCTTTTTCATAGATTGATCATCATTAAATTCATCTTCCTCGAATGGCTCTGAAGAAGAAGATAATTTTCTTTTCCTGGGTCCACCACCTTCTAAAACAAGACAAGGACGTGCAAAGTTCACACCGATATAGTGTAAGAATCATAAATGTACATGTAAATCCATGGCTAATTCATGTCAATGTATGACAAAAACCACTACAATATTGTAAAGTAATTAGCCTCCAACTAATAAAAATAAATGAAAAAAAAAAAAGAATCATTAATGTAAAAACAAGGGCAAACTACACATTAATAGACAGGTCTCTTGATATCAGGACAATATTATTTCTTCGACATATGACACACATTCAATAAATGTTAACTGCATTGAAGGAAAAATAAAGAGGGATCCTTTTCAGAGTTTCAGAAGTAGAAATCACTGTAAGACTATATGTATTTATAAACTATCACATTATTTAATGCTAATGATATATATCTTTGAATTGACAAGTAATTCTATAGTAGAAAGAAGAGGTTCTCCTCAGTGACTGAATGTTCAGTAGTGAAAAAATTGAGCCCATCAGCTTATCTGAATAACATCAAATAACTGTCAATAATTAAGTATCTACTATGTACCAGGCTTTGCAGAGGCTTTTATAAACTGCTGTTTCATTTACTTTCCACAACAAATCTGCCAAGTAAATATATACTTATTTTACCAATTAGGAGGAACTGAGAAACAGAAATCGAGATGAATGCTTTTAACCTAAAAACAAGACAGCACAACACAAGAGAGTGTTGTATGACAGTAATGGGAAATGTGCACATTCTGTCACGACTGACAGGAAAACTCAATCTACATGATTTGGAAAAGCTATGTCACTTATGTTTTACTTTGTATACATTCATATACTTCTTCAGTACCTTGACTTTCAGAGAGCAAATTCCAGAGACATACTGCAGTACTTGTATTAAAGTGTTTGCTGAAAGCTTACAAAGGTTTAAGATTTCAGTATTAATTGTATCAGTACCCTAACTATGCAGTTAGAAATAAAAGTTGTAGGAATATTCAAAATAAGTACAGACACAGCAGCTTTTAAGCTATAAGCATGAAAATGTCATAATATGACTATAACCAAATTGAATGCAATCAACATCTCAATGTATAATAATTACATGCTTTAAGTATGCATGCTTAAATTTTTCCCCCTTTATTTCATAAAGTAAACGTGCATTCTGCATACACCAACTAATTGCCGGCATCCATTCTATCATCACCCACATATTTGCTGGGGTTAAGTGACTACCATTCAGTTCAGTTCTGATGCCCAGTCATGTTCAGTAATTAGGCATATTACTAACGACTACCATTCTAATATTAAGAGTTTCAAACTAGGTGATTACACCATGTCACCTAGATATGTTTAACCCTTTCTTAAAAAAAAAAGCATATTTAAAACATAAAAAGTAAAACATGAAACTGCAAAAAAGAAAATATGAACAAAGAACACTAACAGGCAATTCAATAGGGGAAAAAGAAAGAAAAAAGATGATCAACATCATTAATAACTAAAGACAGGGAAAATACAGTTCCCTTTTTCCCATCCTAAGATTAAAAGGAGTAGTAAAAGGAAGTCATAGCATACTGTGGGCAGTCACATTAAAACATTATAAACTGTTATAGCCTATCTGGAAGGCAATCTGAGTAACACACCTCAGAATTTTACATGTGTGTGTCTTTCAGTTCAACAATTCTTTTTCCAGAAATTTACTCACAAAACTGAGGGAGAATGGTTACTTATGCATACATAAAAATTTTTACCTAAGCATTTAAGTGCATGTCAATAAGCTATTAGACAAGTCAGAATACATTGTTGTGAAGAACTGAGCAGACTTTTAGAAATAAATATGGTTACAAAACAGCAAAAAAAAAAACCCAGAATCATAGTCACATAAAAATGTTTTTACCTACTCTTATACTGACACATATATAGAGAACTGGGGCTTCCCTAGTAGCTAAGATGGTGAAGAATCTGCCTGCAATGCAGGGGACCCAGGTTTGATTTAGGGTTGGGAAGATACCCTGGAGAGGGGAATAGCAACCTACTCCAGTATTTTTGCTGGGGAATCCTATGGAGAGAGGAGCCTGGGGAGCCCCAGTCCATGTGGTTGCAGAGAGTTGGACACGACTGAGCGACTATATACACGCTGAGCACAAATATACAGAAGTGGAAGAACTAGCTAGATTCCTGACGACATCAGTGAATTCATATTTTTACCATTTAAAGTAGGGTAAAAACTTTGGATACATATTTTTGTCTTTATAACATAGTATTCATAAATGAAAACATTCAGAAGGCAATGTAAAGAACATACCTTAATTGTTTAATATGCAGGATGATACTGCATATAAAAGACTGTATTTTGTGGTAAAACCAATGTCCAACATCAGAATTTGGAGACTCTTTGTAGATTTATAGAACTGTCCAAGGCATTTAAAAAGACCCTCTGTTGGTGAGACAAAGCTGTCATTCTATACATTACCTGAAGAGTGTACTATACCGAAGATGACTGATATGACTATCCATTCTAAGAAGAAGCATGGAAGTTTACTTAAAAAAAAAAAAAAGAAAACCTTAATTTCTTCTTTCCTTATAATTTGCCATTTGACACTATCTTCAAGAAAAAGAAATAATACCAAAGTCTAGCACAACAATGACAAGTAAAACAACTCCACTAAAGTTCAACTTTAATAAGTCCTGTAAACTACATGTGGGCAGAGGTTTTGTCCATTTTGTTTCAGCGTGTACCCTCCATGCCTAAAATAGCATCTGGCATCTAGTAGTAGATACATACTAAGTATTTGTTTAATGAATAAAGCTGAATAATACAAATTGCTCAAGACAAAAAAAGACCACACATTGCTGTGCAATAGTTATTTAACAAAGTTTTCACTAGAAAGATTTTGAAATATGAGATATTATGAGGACAAGAAAGAATATGTAAAATTTCCCAAACCCATTTAGCAACTCAACAAATGTTAACAGGGTCTACAATTTTTCAGAATTTTTATAGTAGGATACAGTAATGAGGATACAACTTTCTCTTGTACCATTTTCTAGTATCAGATAGCCATTAAGAACATAAATGTTAATATGTACTATGTACTTACTATCCGCCACTCACTATAGTAAGAAATTTGAAATAACTATCATTGTTTCGTAACAACCTAAGAATTTCCTACTATTACTATACTATTTTACTCCTACTGAAACAGAAAACTTAGGCAACACCACTCGAGGTCACACAGCCAGTAAGTAAAAGAAAAGGAAGAATCTTAATATTCACTTGGGGTAGCAGCCACACACCACACAATACCATTCCCTTGCTCAAACTGGTGAAAAAGAGAGATTTAAAATATTTCATGTGGAAAACAGAATATTACTCTGCCATAAAAGGAACGCCTTTGGGTCAGTTCTAATGAGGTGGATGAACCTAGAACCTATTATACAGAGTGAAGTAAGGCAGAAAGAGAAAGCTAAGTATTGTATTCTAACACACATATATATGGAACCTAAAACAATGGTACTGAAGAATTTACTTACAGGGCAGCAATGGAGAAACAGAGAATAGACTTATGGACATGGGGAGAGGGAAGGAGAGGGCGAGATGTGTGGAAAGAGTAATAGGGAAACTTACACTACCATATGTAAATTAGATAGCCAACAGGAATCTGCTGCATGGCTAAGAAACTCAAACAGGGGCTCTGTACCAACCTAGAGGGGTGGGATGGGGAGGGAAATGGGAGGGAAGTTCAAAAGGGAGGGGATATACGTATACCTATAGTAGATTAATGTTGTGGTTCTAGAGAAAAGAACAATATTCTATAAAGCAATTATCCTTCAGTAAAAAAATAAATTAAACATTTCATGTTGATAAAGTAGTATCATCTTTGGAACCCAAGCAGGGGGTTAGTATGAGTTAGATAACTGCAAAAGAAAGATAACAGGCCCATGAAAACATATTACGGTATTTTCTATTTTTGTATATAAGTGAAAAAAAATCCACTTAGGAATATGGATACATACTCACACTGCTGATGAAATCATAAGTTGGTATAACCTTGAGAATTAACACTGAAGTACATATTATATTTCAAAATGTGCATGACCTTTGGCTCAGCATCCTGGTTTGAAGTTTAGGCTACAGAAATAAAAACTGAAAGGTTTACTTGTAAAGCTACTTTCTTTTGTACTGTAGTAATGAAATAATGTAAACATCAATGCTAATTAACAGTCAGATCAGTCACTCAGTCCTGTCTGACTCTGCAACAGCATGGAGTGCAGCACTCCAGGCTTCCCTGTCCATCACCAACTCACGGAGCTTACTCAACTCATGTCCATCAAGTCAGTGATGCCACTCAACCATCTCATCCTCTGTCGTTCCCTTCTCCTCCCGCCTTCAATCTTTCCCAGCATCAGGGTCTTTTCTAATGAGTCAGTTCTTTGCATCACGTGGCCAAAGTATTACAGCTTCAGCATCATTCTTAGCAATGAATATTCAGGACTGATCTCCTTTAGCATGGACTGGTTGCATCTCCTTGCAGTCCAAGGGACTCTCAAGAGTCTTCTCCAACACCACAGTTCAAAAGCATCAAATCTTTGGCGCTTAGCTTTCTTTATTGTCCAGCTCTCACATCTTTACATGACTAATAGAAAAACCATGGCTTTGACTAGATGGATCTTTGTTGACAAAGTAATGTCCCTGTTTTTTCATATGCTGTCTAGGTGGGTCACAGCTTTTCTTCCAAAGAGCAAGCGTCTTTTAATATCATGGCTGCAGTCACCATCTGCAGTGATTTTAGAGCCCAGGAAAATAAAGTCTCACTGTTTGCACTGTATCCCCATCTATTTGCCATGAAGTGATGGGACCAGATGCCATTCAGTTTTCTGAATGCTAAGTTTTTTTTTTTCTTTCTTCTTCTTTTTTTTTTTCCGTTTATTAGTTGGAGGCTAATTACTTTACATCATTGCAGTGGTTTTTGTCATACATTGAAATGAATTAGCCATGGATTTACATGTATTCCCCATCCCGGTCCCCCCTCCCACCTCCCTCTCCACCC